CGCGGACGGAAGCGCAGCCCCGCACAAAGATGGCCGTGGAGCCGCACCACGTGGGCAGAGGGCCGTCCCGCGCGCCGCCGGGCCTCCGGGTCTCCCTGGGAAGGCGGCGCCGGGAAGCTGGGCACCCACCGCGCAGTAAACCAACGCCAAAGGCGGGGCGGACAGGCCGCAGCTGTCCTGCGCGTTTGATTAGGGCTGAGCCATATAATTAGCTGCTTCATGTCCAAGTGTGGTGAAGGGTTCAAAATGCATCTCCCTCTCTCCCTCACCGCCTCAGATTCCAGGAGAGGATGAATAAATGGTATCCCCTAGCAAAATATGTCTAATATGGCACTTCCTTACATGCTATAACGTCTTGAAAACTTATTCTCTGCAGCCAAAAAACTGAAGGTCAGAGAAACTAGGTTTCTTGCCCACAGCTTCAGAATCTCAAACTACTTCTTAATAGCATAGATTTGTGGAGCACCTTAACGTGTACAGCACTGTTAGACCCTAAAGGGTTGCAAATAGTATAGGGTACATCTCGTCGTAAGGGGAATTTGTAGCAGTTGGAGTGGATTAGACATTGGAAAAAATCAGTGGGTGATGTTATACTGTGCAGTATAGGTATATATATATATATAGCTATATATAGGTATCTACAGGAAAGTGTAGGTCTATCACTATATGTGATCATACAAGAATCTATCTATTGTCTAAAATATGCATGATGACACCCTACGCTCTCTGAAATACATGGAATTACAAGATGAGATCTGTGCCCTGGAATTTAGAACTAGTGGGAAGAAAAATACGCTTCCCCAGAGATAATTTACAACTTAAGGCAACACTGAATTGCTACTGGTTTCAGTGGAGGCAAAGATCAACATGAACCGCAGAAAGGGATAGGATAGGTGTATTCCAGGCTGAAGAAAAGGAGATGTTGCAGTGAAGGAATATGGCGCTAGAGATACTGAAAAAGAGGGAAGCCATAATCTGCAGGTGGGAGTAGACTCTAGGTTGATAGTAGTAGAGGATTTAGGATGCATGTTGAGAAATGATGGAAGATAAAATAATGTTGATTAGTTATGAATGGGGTATGCAATTCATTTTGGGTAAGTAGGAAAGAGGAGAAAATGGATCCCTAACAATATCTTACAAGACTTCTTAAGGAATCCAAATGAAAACTAGAGTCAGTTTCTTCTACTTCCAGGAAGGTGTGCAATACTTCAAAATGAATAGTTCATCAAAGGCACATAATTAAGGCAGTGTACTCCATAGATGAACACCACAATAACCCTCACTTTCAAAGTTAGTTTAAAATGAATATACTGGAGAACAATTATAAAAACTTTAATGAAAGAGTTCATTTTCCGTAATTACAGTTTTCTGTGATCTGAAGAAAATGGAATCACCTTGTGTTAAAATGTCTTTGAAATGAAAATAAACGAAATGTAAAAATCAGTATTTTCTGCAGCTTTACAATGCTTATCTTTGCAGTAAGAGATTGGGAGGTAAGTGAGCCCTCTACACAGAAGGAATAAGTTGAACATGAATCCAAATAGTACTTGTTTCATTTCCCTAACAGGTAAGGTGTTTTATTGCAGTGGTTCTCAATGTGAATGAGTGCCAGAATTCTCCTGGAGCTTAAAAAAACCACAGATTTCTAGGTCCTATGCCAGCCACTAATTTAAAATGCAAACACTATAGTTTAAAAGACCCTCTATGTTCAAGCTCCTGCTTGTGTCTTCAAATTCATTTCATGCTCACCTTGATCTAGCTGTGCAGCTTTTCATTATGTTTCTTACACATGCTAAGCTCTAATCCACCTTAGAATCTCTGAATATGTTTTGCTTTCTATCTGGATTGTATATCTCTCCCCTCTTGGCACCTCTGTTTTCTTACCAACATTCAGGTTTCTGCTGAGATGTCATTTCCTCAGATTCCTTTCAAAATAGCACCCTTATTTTCTACCTTCCCCCTTATTTGTCTCCTTCATAATACTTATAATCTATGATTATTTGATTGATATTAAATAAATGTTTCTCTCATTAGAATAAAAGCTCCAGGAGGGCAGGGACATATCTATCTTATTCACCAACACAGTGCCTGGTACACAGTAGACACCAAATACATAATTGCTGAATGAAAGATGAATGTTGGTGAGCCAAAAGAAAAGCTGCAGAGTTTCAGTATAGCAAGCTAGGAAGTAGTTAACAGAGTAAACATGAAAATAAATGTACCATAAGCCTACAAGTGAATACAATGAAAATATGTAATGATTTATGTTGCATGAATGAAAGTTCTGTGGTACATTAGGACAGTAAGAATACTTCGGGCTATTACTAACTTTAGTGGTTATGACATTGGTCATTCTGGCTCTAAATTCTGGTTCTGTCATTTATTAAGTGGGTTCTATTGGCTGGGTTTCAACAAGTTATTTAATTTCTCTTACCTTCAGTTTTCTCTGTGAAACAGGAATAATATCAAAATGTTATGAGATTTAAATGAAATTATATAAAGCTACTAGTCTAGTGTCTGGCACCAAAACAAAACAAAAAACCCCAACCAAATCAAAACAACAAAAATCCCTCTCAATAAAGATTAATCATATACTGAATACAAAGGGCATTCTCTTAATGTGCTTAAAATCCCCAGAGTGAGAGATCTCACACAAGTGCTCCTTTTGACACGCTTACTCTTCCTCTAACACCTATTGACAGTTTTTGAATTCACTATGATGTTGCCCACCTTTTTTCTTCTTACCTTTTTTCTGCCACTTCTTTACTAGAAAGCCATTCTCCCACGAACTGCCTATTCATTCTTGCAGTCTTGAATAACCCCAAGCTCTCTGTGAAGATTTTCTTGATATTGACACCACAACCATCCCATAGAGTTTATCACCCTGTCTTGCATGCTATCTCCGGACCTTGGGCATACTTCTAACGTTGCATTTACTGTAATAAATTGTAATTACTGCGTTTTCCTGGTGTCTTGTCTCTTCCACTAGACTGTGAGCTCTTTGAGGTATTCAGTTTCCTTAACTCCAGCATCTAGTCCTTTTCTTAACATACAATAAGCGCACGATTGATTGCTGAAGCACGAATTCGCGTCTTGGGTTCCTGAGCAGTGACTTGATCTTAGCTGACGTCTCTCAACCTCCCCCATCTGTATATGGGGGCGACAACTCGAACACGAGTGTCACATGGAGTCCAAGAGATATCAGGAAGGACTCCTAGCATGGGGACCGCACATCGTACGGTTGGCGACTGATGCCCAAGAAGGAAATACGTTGGCCAGGGTTGGCGGGGAAGGCGGGACCACGAGCCCAGAGGAGAAAGCGAGTTCCACTGCGCAGGTGCGCGCGGGAGGGGGTGGGGTGCTCATTCCCCAGGCTGCTGTGTAGTTCCGGGAGCCAGCTCGCGGCAGGGGCGGCGGGCCGTCGCGGAGCTGACGTCATCGCCGTGCGCTGCCACGTCTGCTCAGCTCCGCGGTAATGGAGGCTAAGGATGAGTGCTGACGGGGCCGGACTCTGCATCTAGCTGTAGCTCTGGCTCTGACTCTGGCACTGACTCCGGGTCTGGGTCAACAGCCCGAAGCCTGGAAAGCTTTTCTCTACTCTCCTGGAAAGGACGGCCTGCGGACAAGCAGCTGGTTTGGAGCACCTCAGCTTGGGGAGGGAGTTCTCTTTCCTGGGGTCCAGCCTGTAAAGCCGCCGCCTCCTTCCAGGGATCCCGCCCCGCCGGCCGGGCCTCCTCCATGCGTGAGTATTACCGAGCTGCAGTGCTGTCCGATTGTCGTGGGACTGTTTCTGCCCTCCGGTATGTGTGGCGAGGACCGCTTTGCCGACCCCTCTTAGGGGTTAGTCTTTTGAAGTGTGTGGTCTCTCAACGCCCACCTTCCACCACCCCATCCTCTCACCTCTCCCAGTTTTTTTGCTCCACATTGTTTTCTTTCCCTTTGCTCGTTAATTGAGCAAGGACCAGCAGCCCCTGGATCCAACTGTTTTAATGCTTTGTCTCACCTGGCGTTTTTCAGTCTGCAGCCGAAAGCTGTTAGGAATAGGGAACATAGGATGTCTGCTGTAACGTTTTGAAAACCAGGGTTTGTCCAGGGTGTCACTCTTCAGTTTTAAGTCGTATTGTTTAGGAAACAGATTTTTGGTATCCATATTGGCGAAGCCATGATTTTGCCATAGATTGATGGAAACACAGTTTCTTTTCAGTGAGGGCCTTTATCTGTTACCTGTCTTTTAACCCTGCAGTTTTATTAATTTATCAAATGATTTTACATCAGTTTTTCTAGAGTGGGCATCCACTTGAGCTCTTTCCAATATTTTCACTCTAACATATGAAGATATTACTTGAACAGTTTTACTTTTAAGCAGTTAAAAGACCTGATGTACTTTCATCCATCTTTGTCAGTCCCAACAACCACCTCTGTAGGACAGGAAACACTTTTTTTTTTCTGACTAAGGAAACAGACTCAGAGGTTAAATGCCTCAAAGTCAGATAATATATGACACATCTGATCTCAGAATCAAAATCCCTTGATAACATAACCTAACATTTTGGACAGTGTTCTCTTGTAATTCAAGGGGCCTTCTGTGAAGTATTAAATTTAAATTGGAAGTGTATATATTAGGTGTTTCTTGTAAATTTTACCTGATTGTAATATCTTTCATATAATACAAGTCAACTGACAAAAGACACAAATTGTGACTTCCCTACTGCTGAACAGAGCTTAGATTAGAACTTAGGCTTCTGACCCATTAGAGCCTGAGTAGTCCTTTCATTAGAATAAAATAGGTAATAGACATTGGGAGCATTTGTTTGAAAATCTGGTTTTACAAGGTCTGCTCACTCAGTTTTTCTGGTTGTTTTGTTACATTGCTTACTTTAAAAATAGTAGACTGATATTTAAATGTCTCTTTTTGTTCAGCGTTGAAACGGGCTGACAGCCATTAACCTGGATTGCAACTACAGGTGGCACTGGAAGCAGACTGGTTCCCGGACATGCCCGGTGGAAGGAGGGGCCCTAGTCGGCAGCAACTAAGCCGTTCAGCCTTACCTTCTTTACAGACTTTGGTTGGTGGGGGCTGTGGCAATGGAACAGGCTTGAGAAACAGGTAAAGAAGAAATAAGACTATGCATAATTTGTAATATCCTATGATCAGTAAAACTACCATAGAAGTTGCCATGCTTTTCAGATATTTGCTTACAATTTTTTTTTTGACACTGAAGTAAAAATCTTGACCTTGAAGACTAAAAGCTTAGTATTTCAGAATACTTTGGAGGTAGAAAGTTGTGATATGGGACCCACAAAGTGAAAACAGGCTGATTCTTCCTTAAGGCTGATAATCCAAATTCTAGTCATCAGCTTTTTTTAGCTCTTGAAAGAAGGGAAAAGTCAATTAAAGTAAAAGACAAATATGGTGGTTTAACTATATTACCATTCTTTTGGGGGGAGAACAAATTGAAACTGGCAGTTAACATGAGATTCTAAAATTATGTCATATTCTATCAAGGTTTCAAAAATTATTTTGTTTAAAAAATTGAAATGAATGAACTATCAGTTTTAGCCCAACCATATTAAGATTTGTGTCACGGTTTACAAGAATAAAGAATTTGATCTTCATAATGGAAATTTATCTCTGTTCTTAACTTTCAAAAGTTAGAATTATTTCTCATCTGGGATAACTCACTTCATCAGAAGGTTTGATCATGTGGCAGTGGAAAGAGATGGCTTTTACCAGATTGTTTGCTCAAGATAAATTTTTTTCTCCTGCTTCCTCCCTGAATAGAGTTTTCTTTGGCCTGGATTCTAATTTTCAAAGCTAGCAGTCAGTACTGCTCCTGTCTTTTCAGGCCTTCCTGATGTTTGTATACTTTTCTCTTCCTGGCCTGCCCTCCTTTCATTCTGACCTTCCACCCACAAGCTCTACTCAATCTTCAAAATCAGTTCTGATCTTGTCATTTCAGTGGGTTTCTCCCTGAAATTCCAGTTTGAAGGGATTTTTTTTTCCAGTCTCTGATTCCCATTATACTGATTTTCAATCCAAATTTTATATTTACATATGTATAAGAGTATTTGTATTTTATTCTAGAGTAATATTTTTACTCTAGTGTTCTTTGGATATCCTCAGTTTAAAGATGGTGGTACTTTCCGCTTCATAGCAGAATGTTGTAAATGAATGAAGGAATAAATTGCTTTAAACTTTACTCTGAATTTTCCAAATATTCTACAAGTAACACATATTTCTTTTTCTTTTAATAAAAAATAAAAAGAATGAGAATATGTGAAATGCTTTTGAAGAAGGGTACTATCTAACATAGATACTGAGGTGAAGGATGTTTCCTATTTGAAGTATGTGCCTTAATTTTAGTAGTATATACTATCAGTTTAGTGTCTTAGTCCTTTTGGATTGCAACAGAAGATTGTAGCTATTCTTAGCTAGTATTATAGCTAGCTAAAGCATTCTAACTCTGCCTCTGTATTAACTCCAGCAGTTCTTTGTTTATTTTCTTTTACTTTGACTTTGAAGGTTTCTCTGGATAATTAGGTTCTTACGCTGTCCCATGGAATCCCTCTTCAGTATCTTGGGTTGCTGTAGAGCATATCGAAGGGAGAAAAATCATTCAGGCCAGTAGTCTAGGCTTCAGGTTTCCCAGTCCTTTCTTAATCAGACTTTCTCTCTTGTGTGTTTTAAATACTGGGATACCATGTATAATGTCTTTTGGGGGAAGGAAAATGAAATGTTCTGCTATTTTAAAAGATCTGAAAACCACATTCTCAGATGGTTCTGCATGCACTTGAAGTCTGCAAATAGAATACTGGGAAGAACTAGGAACATTTGGAAAATTCCTCTGCTCTTAAGTGGGCTTAGCTATGATCATGTGATCTGCCTTCCTTGTAGCTCTTCTATCCTGGCTGTCAAGGTTCCAGTCATGGTTACCTTGGTCTACCATTCTACCAACTTTCCTCCTTTAACATATTTCTTTAGCAATTAATTGGGGTGATAGGGAGAAGAACTTATTTTTCAACAGATTAGAATAAAGTCAAAGAGCATAATTGTTCATGGTTTGAAAAGTACTAAAACTATTATTGAGAAATTGTCTTGTGACATTTTTATCTAGAGGGGTTATTTTGGAAGAAGATAGTTCTGTATTTGTTGATGGGGAAGAAGCATCCTAGAATAAGTTGTTTTATAAGACTTGGGGAAAGGATATTAAAAAATGTGGATGAAACCAGTGGTAGGTAGCCTAGAATATAGTTTTAGGAAGGATGTGTACAAAGAAAGTGTTAAGACGAAGAGAACTCATTTCTGGAGTGTCTGTAGAGAGAAGTAGATAATTGTTTAAGTGTGGTATAATTTTGGGTGATATCCTTGATGCTACAAGACATAGATCGGCTGAAGAAGAGAGGATTTGCCCCCATTTGTTAGGTGTTTGTGGCCTGATTGGTAAAGCTAAACTTGAGAATGTCAAAGAGCAAGTTTGGTGACATAGTCAAGATTGAAATCCATAGTTCTCTGTCCTGCTTCCCACCTGTGGGGAGCAGGAATTTGTTCTTCGAATGTGATATGCTTAGATGATTGCCTTCTAAAGAAAAAGGATATACTATGAATTTCTGAGTTTTCTAGAGAGCTTTTAGTTGAGGAACAGTCTTAATTGAAAAAGACTAAGTGATTTTTTCTTTGCTTTGTTTTTGCGTGTACTTAGTTAACATCACTTGATCATGTCCAAATGATCATTGCTTTCTCTGTCCCTTCTAGTTCCTTTTTATTCCTTTAAATTTTTCTTGCTTCATCCATTTGCTTAGCTAAAATTTGCTGCTTGCTGGCTCTATGAAGGCCATTCTCAAGCCTGCTATGTTAACCCTTTCTTGCACACAAACTTTATATACAAGGATAAAGCAGATGTTTGGCATAATCCATATTGTTTGCACAGTGAGCCACTCTTATTATTTAGGGAAACTTTTGTATCTGTAGAAGGAACTGTTTACCAGTCAAGTTCCCAGATGCCAGCCTTGCACTCAGGCCTTTCTAAGGATACTTATACTGAACACCTGCTTTCTCTTTGGGAACCTGGAATTTTGGTAGTGCTAGGTAGAGTTGCCAGCCTCCAGTAAAAACTTTGTTTGCTCAGCCTGTAATGAACCTATGTGATAGATAGCACTTCATACGTGTTGTCATAACTAGTTGCTGAAGAAGTTAACTGCATCCTATATGATTCCACCTAGAAAGGACTCTTGGAAGTTTGCACCTGGTTTCCTCCGGACTTTGCCTGGTACCTTTTCCATCTGCTGATTTTGATTTGTATCCTTTTGCTGTAAAAAATTATAGTTTAAACACAACTGTATGCCAAGTCCTGAGTCCTAGTGAATCATCAAGCCTAGCCTTGGTCTTGGAGACCTGCAGCACAATTTGAAAGAGTATTCAATGTTAGCACTGGAAAGAGTTCTTTAAAGAGAATCTTCTCCAACTCATATATGATAGATGAAGAAACTGTGGCTCAGGAATATAAAGTTATTTTCTCAAAGACCACAGCTGGTTGGTGGAAAATCTGGGCCTAGAACCATCCCACACTGTATCTGAAACATTTGTGTCACTGCTTTTTTTGAATCTGTTTTACATTCTTTCAGAGGGGCGGTACTTTTTTTTCTTAAATAATACCTGTGTAGCTGATTTTCAAAGACGTATTGACCAAGTCATTTTATTTTAGCTTTTTTTTTTCTTTTTTGGTTTTAAGAACTTTGATAATATCTCCTCTCAAGCTTTCAACTCATAGGAATACTTTCCTCTTTCCCACTGATGCGCTGGATCACTTTACTTGACCTTTGTCTCTTTGTCTTCTAACTTGAAGTATACTAACCAAGGCTGTGTGGAATAGCACTAATTTAGATCTTTCATACTTCGTTTTGTGTGTCTTTATTGAAGCCCAGCATACTGTTGACTCTGTTAATGGCAGAAGCACATTAGTCTGCTTTACTTGGGAAAATTCTATAAAAACCTTTCTAACCTTTAAATCATAACAAGTAATTTAGCATGCTTTCTCCCTTCATGTACTTTTAACTGAAGAGGAATACGAATTCTTATTTGTTCTGGAATATGTTTAGTTTGTTTTAGAGTAGAGGCTCCTCACCAGAATTTTTTATTTTCATACCTTATGATTAAATGAAGTACAGGAATAGATTAGCTGCTGGCATTAATTCCTTCCATTCAAGTCCACCAACTCGAACAATTCCAGAGAGCACCTTTCATGTTGTATTCCTTGTGAATTCCTGGGAGTTGTGCTGTGCTGTGGCCCATCTTCCAGAACATATCAGAGAGCTGTGGTGTGTTAATGATTGGTTTACGATTGAGCAGATAAGGTTTTGAGACCTACTGGTGGGTCACAACCTACTCCTTGGTAAGCTTGTTCTGTTGGAGTGTACTCTGAGAATGAGGAGGGGGCAAGTTTTATAATTTTTTCTGACTTTCCTCCGTCCCTGTTCTTCCCTTCTAGCTCTTCTGAGTTTTTGCCATGATATTCTTAAATGTTCAGAATGAGCAGAGTTCATATTCCCATGAGTCAGTTAAAGTACTGTAAATGTCTCATACTGATGCTAGAATTCTATATTTGGAAATTTTAGGGGAGAATGGTAACACTAACATTGTTCCTTCTCTAGAATCTTCTTTAGAAATAGCCAAGTCAGGCGTCTTTTCTTTGTTCTGTAAATAATGGTAGACCCTTAGATCTCTAACTATTCCTGGCATATAAACAATAGGAAATTTTATTCCCTACCCCCATCTTACCATTTTAGATAGCCCAGCTATCTACCTATAAAAGAGCTTGGAAGAAAGAACAAGAAGATAGGGATTAAAATCTATATTTTAATTTATGTTTTGAGCGCTCTCTTTTCCATGACTATATTGGTCTGTCTTTTTGACCTAAAGGTATATACATGCAGTGAACTAGAAAAAGTACAGTGTCTGTCCTAAGATTATGGTCTGATAGACAAGATAGATGTATACAAAAAGTTACATGAAAAGAACTGAATAATCAAATGAAGAGTGTAATAATAAAGGCATAATTTAGGTATAATGGTGGCACAGATGAAAGATGAGTCAATGTTGATTGAGTGAGTCCAAGTAAGCTTTTAGAGGATAAAGTCTTGACAGAATCTGTAAATGTGTATGTGAAGGGTTAAGGAAGGTGATTTTGGAGGATATTGCTGGTAAAGGAATAATGTGTACAAAGGAATAGCATGTATGTATATTCACAGATAGCAGATAGCATAGGTATTGTATAGGGTGCGTGTGGAGGAGTGATAAGAGATGAGGCTAGTCTGTTAAGCAGAGGGTCTCGTAGGACAGACTATACGTTTTTGGATGTTATCCTATTGGCAGTGGAGAGTCATGAAAGGGTTTTAGGCAGGAAAATAATACATCAGAGGTTTACTTTAGAAAGATCTTTGAAGGCAGGTTGGAGGATTTAGTGAAAGTAGAATTGAATTTAGAGGAATTACTTCAATAGTTCAAGTGAAAAATGGTAATTCTTGAACTAAGGCAGTGGGTTTAGAGAGGAGGGTTCAGTTTGGAAAAAGATTTATGAAGTGGAGTATATATGATTTAGAGAGTGATTTAGAGAAGGAAATTTCTACTATGACTTCCAGGTTTCTGATTTGGGCAGCTAACTGGGCCACGAACTAGGGTCAGGACTATAGGAGGAGAAACATAGAAATGCTGAGTAGACTGCTTGATAACATGGGTCTAAAACTCAGCAGTAAGCTTTATGGAGAGAAATTTTAGTTTTCGATGTGGATAATGACTTCATTATCCATTATCATGGCTTCAGATAATGGAAGCCATGACCACATATTAGATTACTGAGAGTGTGTGGAGGGAGAAGACAAGAGCAGGTGGTCCTAGAATGGAGTCTTGAGGAAAGCCATCAGCTAAAGGGTAGGTGAAGAAGAGGGCAGGACCCCTTTGATGCTCTTTGACTCTGAGAGGTATTGACTTTTCAGTTAACCGTAGTTTTCTCTTTTCAGGAATGGTAGTGCTATTGGCCTTCCGGTCCCACCTATCACAGCCTTAATCACCCCGGGTCCTGTTCGTCATTGCCAAATTCCTGACTTGCCTGTGGATGGGAACCTGCTCTTTGAGTTTCTCTTTTTCATCTACTTGCTGGTTGCTCTGTTCATCCAGTACATCAACATCTATAAAACAGTGTGGTGGTATCCTTATAATCATCCGGCCTCTTGTACTTCGTTGGTAAGTCTCAATAGACCTTTTAAGTTCTTCATGTTACTTAGTCAAGAAACTAGTTGGAGAACTTAGGTGTAGAAATTATTTTTCTTCGAATGAATTGTTTTTCTATTAAACTGCAGATTACTTTCAGAATGTAATATTATAAGATTGTTAAATATCTGACTTTAGTCTGTGACCAGAGGAAGTAAAAACATAAATGAAAATGCAGAAAACATTTACATATTATTATAACAATATCCCAGAGGGGTTTTGGTATTTAGCTTTCCCTACGCCATGTTAAATTTGTTGGAAGTTTAAGGTGCAAATATGATTGTATTCCAGAACTTTACCCTTTCAATGGCTGTATTAGGATAATGATAGCTTCTATAACAAATAAACCCCAAATTGTATACTGCTTCAAACATGTAGCAGTCTGAGGCAGTTGTCCTGGTTGGCAAGTGTAGCATACTTCCATTGGCAAGGGACCCAGGCTGATGGAGACTCTGCCATCTTCCAGCACGTGACCTCCAAGGTGGCTGTGGTCCATCCCTGTTTGCCAGAAAGGGGAAGGAACATAGGGAAGTATAAAGGAGAGTTTCTTATGGGCCAGGCTTACATCATTTTCATATGTGTCCACTCCTAACTGTACGGGAGGCTGGACAATATAGTCCCTTGGCTGGATTCATTGTTATTCTGAATAAAATTGGTTCTGTTACAAAAATACAGTGGAGACAAGAACTAGCTATCTCTGCTGAAGTACATCAAAATACACTGTAGGTTTTTGTGCCCTCTTTCCGGTTACTTAGTAGTGCTGTGGTAATCTTGATGCAAAAAGTGTTCTCCATAGTTGGGTATATAAAATAACAGTTCAGGATAGTCAAATGACCTGGTAGGTAAGTGGCTGGCAGTGGCAGATTTGGATGGGTGTTGGAGATACGCTCTAGGAGAAAGAAGACTATTGCCCTGGGTAGATTATATATGTGGCTGGGACTTAAATGGTTAAAAAAACCTCCCTGGCCTGTTAAACATAGACTGGAAATGTGTACAAAATCTTCAACATAGTATGAGAAGGGAGTAAACATTTTTATTTTAAATATTTGTGTTAACTATTAAGAATTTTTTTTCCATGTTGACCACCTATTTGCTTAAAATCAGGTGAAGAGAAATTTTGTTTCTTTATTTAAGAATTATAATGATTTAGTGTCAAGCTATATGCTTTTTCTTTTTTTTTTAATAGTCTTTTTTCCTACCTGGATTATGGGTTTATTGAGCATAGAAACTCAACTTCATCCATCCTTCTTTGGCCATGCATGGTGTTATAAAATGAGAAGGCTCAAATAGATGATTTTTAAGGCTTTTTCCAGCTATGTATTTCTATAAGTAAATAACTCATTCTAACAGTGACACTGGCAAATACTTTTTAAAATATTTACCATATTCTTTGTAAGTGTTACTGTATTTACTCTTCCTAAAAGCAGGTAGGTACTACTGTATGACTCCCATTTTATAAGTTAGTAATAGGAGACCTAGAAATTATGAAAATGGCTTAAAACCACATGTGACAGAGTGAACACTCAAATCCAGCTATATCTGTTATGGTTTATATCCTGTATTTATTATATATTTACTCCGTAAATACTTGTTGGGTTTCCACTTTGGTATCCCATGAAAACTTCTCATTTGTTGAATTTTCAGATTAATCAAAGAGTTATGCTCAGAGTCAACCATTTCTGATGAGAATTCTTATAAAAATCCCTTACTAATATTGCCTGAAACGAAGCGAACCGGTGCTCCTCTCAGAATCAGAAAGCTGTTGCTATGGCTGCTGACTCCAGAATTATGCTTCCTTTGCTCTGACTTATACCACCCGAAATGGGTGCCTTTTACCCTGCCCCTCTCCCCACTTCACTCAGTTTATGTGATGCCTGTGGTTGGCAGAAATTAAATCTAATCTATCAACTTTAGTTACAAGAAAGTTTGGAAATGTAGTTTTGAGCTTTCCAGTCACTACAGTAGAGGAAAGTGCACTTAAAGAAGGTTGTCATGCGGACCGGCTCACTTATTTGCCACATATGATCCTTGCTCACACAGAGCTTAAAATTTAATTGTGGAGCTAAGAGTAACATATGTGAAATAGCAAATAAGATTTTAGCCCATGAATCTGAAAAGGGCTTCTCACATCAGTGAGCTGTTAAAGGTGAATGGCCTGCCAGAGACCCAGTTACTTCCCACCACTGAAGGTATTCAAGCACAGCAGGCGGCAGCTTGACTGGGGTGTTTTAGAAGGGACTTCTATCTCAACTGGTGGTTTGTCTCTTATAAGTTTTCTTCTATTATGTGTTGCCTGACTCAGAAATTCATCAGATTTATATATTAGGTTTAAATTAATAGACCCCCAGACTTTAGCCATTGAATTCCATGAATTTGCTTATATTATTTTGGAGGAGTAGTGTGAGCAAGGAAGAGTCTATCAACTAAGAGGGGATAAATAATTTTTAGAATCCAGAACACTTAGAGAGCGGGAAAAGGAAATGATCTGAGGAGTGGTAGGCCAGCCTCTTGACATTCTGACTGCTCTACCCTTGAAATGTATCCCAAATCTGGCCACTCCATCTCCATTGCTACTGACCCTGTTCAATTCATCATCTTTTCTCACTTAAATTAAAAGAAATAGCTTTGTAACTGATCTTGCCCCAATACAGTATAGTCTGCACATAGCAATGAGTGTGACCATTTAAATATACAAATACAATCATGGCACCCTTTGCCTAAAACACTCCTATGACTTCCCCTTAGCAAAAACTCAATCTCTTATTGCTTATTATCTCTCTCCAGCCTTCTTGCTGATTTTCAGACATACCAGGCAAGTATTTTCTTGCCTTAGAGCCTATGTGATTACTTTTTCCTCTGCCTAGAACTCTCTGCTCCCGTATCTTGTCACGGCTGGTACTTTTTTGTCATTGAGCTGTCAGCTGAAATACCACCTTCTCAGAGATATCCTCCCTAACCACCAATTTAAATTGGCTCTGCACCTCCCTTCCCAGTTGTTATTTATCACTCTTTTATTTCTTACCCGTAGCATAACTTTGGACTGCTTTTGCTTGTTAGCCCTTTTATTATCATTGCCCTTCCCCCTTAAGCAAATTCATTAAAGATGTGAGTTTAGCTGCTATAATGGTATCTAAAACAGAATAGAAGCTTATTTCTCTATTTAATAAAAATCAGGTAAGTGATATAAGGCCACAGTGGCATCTCTTTGTATGTGTTGCTCTGCCACCTTCAACATGCTTCTTCCAAACACCATGGTCCAAAGTAGCCGCTCCAACTCCTGTCATCGCATCTGGCTGGCAGGAAGGAAGAAAGGAGAAAGAAATAGCTCTTTGCTTTAAGGGCATGCCTGGGAAGTTGTACTCATCACTTCCCCTCATATCCGTTAGCTACAAGTAGTTTTTGCAAGGGAGGCTGGGGAATGAACCTTCAGTTAGCTAGGAATCAGTGCCCACTTAAATTTTGTGATGACAGAGGAGACAGGTAGTTATCTCTGCCACTGCCTATCCCTCTCATACTGCAGTAAATAGTAAGATCCAGGAGAGCAGGAACCTTGTCTTTCTTCAGCATTGTTTCTACAGTATCAAGAAGACTACTTGGCACATCGTGGGTGCCCAGTACGTATTTATTGAAAGAGTTAATTGAGAAATTCTGGAAGAAGGACTGTGGAAACTTACAGACCTTTTGACCATCAAAATGAAAATATATCCCAATTTTGTTTGTTGCTAATGACTTTTCATTTTGTTTATTATCATAGTATACAGACTTAGAACTAGAAGGAACATACATAGCATCTAGGTAATGCTGTCATTTCATAGGAAGAAGAGAGCAAACATATGACATGTTTCTAAAGTTAAGGAGAAAGACTGAATGTAATTGATGTATCAGTGAGTAGAGAGTTCAGGTTAGCAGATGCTCAATTAGATTAACATAAGCTTTCATAAAGAGAGACCAACAACAGTAACTCTTGAAGACTGGGAACTTAAATTTGACACTCTTTATAAATACAGCATTTTAAATAAATTATTCTTACCATAATTCTGCAGGTTATCACTTGTTAACCCAAAGCTGTAATCTTTTCATTTAAGGTGATAAGATCTTTTGAGGGGGCAGACCCTTTCATGTAGTAGTTCCAAGTGGGTACACACATTTCTTCCTGATACAGTTGTTTGTTTCTCTTATAGAATTTTCATCTCATTGATTACCACCTGGCAGCATTCATTACCGTCATGCTTGCGAGGAGGCTTGTATGGGCCCTCATCTCAGAGGTAACAACTCATTCATATTCTTTTTTTTTTTTTTGAGCGAAGGTAGATTTATTTAGAGAGATACATACTGCATAGAGTGTAAGGCAAGAGAAAGGCCACAAGGTGTGGGGGTTGGGTGCTCAGGTTAAAGTAAAAGTAGATACACACTCCATAGACAGAGTGCGGGCCATCTCTGAAGAGGGAGCGAGAGAGGCCCAGCTCATTCATATTCTATCACTGGTAGCTAGAGTTAGTTAGTAGAAGGGGTTCTGAAAATGTGAAATGTCCAAGTATAATTTGAATGCAATTATAAATTAATTTCTTTACTCTCACATGAATTGTGCTGGTTCTTTTTAAAAGATTTTCTTAAAATGTATTTAAAATTCAAGTGTGATATAACTCAAGAGAACTGTTAGAAATCTCATTTGTTTGGTAGGAGCTTATTTCTAGCTTCCGAGTTCTTCAGTGCAGTCTTTCTCATTTTGATAGTTACAGTAAAAATAAGATGGATTTTAAGTAACTATTGATATGAAGAGTTGTATGTAAATGAACAGTTGCACATAAAACATTGTTTCAAGTAACATTCACTTGAAATTATTTATATACTATTTGTGGAGTTGCCAGCAGAGACATTTGTTTGAGTTCACTAAAACATGGAATTTAAAAATGACAGCATCCAGATTTGCATAGGACTAATCTGGAAGGTTAGTACCTTCAAATTTAGTGGGCAGTGGAGAAAAGAATTGGGATATTAATATGATCTTTTTAGGAAATGACCATTGGTATCTTTTTTTATATATATTTGTAAACCCAGTGAGGGAGGCAAATGTGTTTTCTTTAAGATTTTATCTTGTGTCTTGTAAATGATTACAAAAACAAAAAATGTTCACTTAGCTATAGTGGCTAATAATTTTAATCTTGAAGTTTATAATTCAGTGTTAAATTTTGAATGAATAATTGCTATAATCACAGAGTCAACTTTTTTTCCCAAAACATACAGTAAAGTCTGTGTATGTAAGATCTTTCAGGAACCTTATTTATGCGAGCACAGAATAATTGCAGATATTAAGTCATAAGCTGAGATCTGTTTAATGTTAACTTAAAAACATTAGTAGTAGGATCGTCTGTTTTTCATGGTGGGAAAGGCTGTCAATAACCTTTTCTCCTAGGTCCCTTATTTAGGTCTTGAAAACAGATGCTTAATTTTGGGCATATTGAGAAACTGTTCTTTCTTTAGAGGAAGTTTTATGTTTACATCTGTTAAAACAGGCAGGGAATGATGTTGTTTCGTATCTTCAGTTACTTAGAAACAGTACTTATATATGTCAAATTAGTATGTCTAATTAGTGTGTAAACCCTTTATAATTGGAGTTTCTACTTTGGAGCTACAAGGGCTATAACTTGAAGGACTCTATTGTTTCTTTTATTAATGGCTTAAGAATAGTTAACAGCTTTTGCATGACCTTAGTTGGAAAATAAACTAGTTGTTTTCTAAGGAAACCTGTCATTCTTACTGAAAGCAAAATTCTTAAGCTAAATTTAAATAAATTTCTAGTCAGAGACTTAATTTGTACCTTAATCTATCAGAAAGGGAATGTTTAAATAAGGTATGGCATATCTACATAATGGAATAGCATGCAGCCATTAAAAGTGAAAGTGCCTTCTTGTACTAACTTTTAAGATATTAAGTGAAAAAAAGTAAATTGCAGAACTGTGTTTAAAATAAGACAGGTGGAAGGAACAAAATATATTGCTTATATATGAATAAATTATCTCCATAAGGACACACAAACTAGTAATTGGCTACTTAGTTAATGACTGGGAGAGAGGACCGATAGGAGGGACACTTCATTACAAACACTGTATATGTTTTGTATTTGAGCAATGTCAATATATTACTATTCAGAAATCAAAAATACGAGCTGTATAGTGATTCTCTTCCTAAAATGTCTAAATTAGATGAGTAAGACCCATCATAAATCATCTTTCCTTCCTTCCGTCAAAAAATGTTTGCCTTTTTTTTTTTGGCTTATACCACAGAAAGGCTCTCTACCCTGAGAAAGACCAATCATTTTTAAGGAGAGGCTGGGCTGGAAATAATTAATTTAGAAAAGTAAATACTACCCCAGGAGGAATACCTGTCTAACTAGATAGACTGTGTTTATTCACCTCCAGGCCAATTCTACTTCTCTACTCACTCCACAAGACAAAAGTTATTCAGCTATTCTTTCACCAACCATAGGCCACTGTCTTTCTAAAAAAATTGTTTTTCTAAATAGAAAAGTAATACATTTTATTGAAAAAAAAAACCAGAAAGCACTAAAATATAAAGGAGAGAATTTTTTTAATGGTTTATTTTAAAAATATTTATTTTCTCATTATTGAGAGAACCACATTTTGGTATATTTCCTTCTAATTTTTAGATGCACACAGAGAAAAAAATATATGTGTATCTTTAGGACATTATCTGTATATTGTCTGGTTATATAGGACATTATCTGTACACAATTTTATATCCTGTACTTCTCACTTAACATAGTGTTAGAAATATTTTTCTACTCCTTACCTGGCTAATTCTTGCTTATCTTTTAGATCCCAGCTGAAATAGCGCTTCCTCAGGAAGCCTTTCCTAGATTAGGGTCTCCTGGTATTTAGTCTCAATAGCAGCCTACTCTTTTCCTATAGCACTTAACACAAGTGTAAAAATAATTGTGTAAATTTAAGTTTAATATTTGTCTTCCTTGGTTGGGCAGTCTCATAAAGACAGAGGTTTTATTTGTCTTGGTTACCACTGTATCCCCAGGACCTGGTATAGTGTCTTGTCACACATAGATACCACAGTGGTTAAGAGCTTGGGCTCTGGAATAAGGCAAAAATGATGACTACATCCAACCTCTGCTGCCCTCTGGTGACATTGAGCAGAAGCAGCCTTTTTTATGCCTAACTCCAAATGCTTGAGAATGGAGGCAGTGGAGTAATTTCAGTGGTTTAAATGCCTTCCCTTGGCTTTGACACATGCAGTACATTGGCATGAGGTGTGTATCTGGGGAGTGACGTGCAACTGTTTGTTCTGCTGTGGCTGAGCACAGTTTGATCCTACTCCACAGTTTGAGGCTCAAGCAGTAGTATTCAGCTGATTGTTTGATTTATAAATGACTACATAAATAGCATGTATTTATAAATATTATACATGCTATGTAGTGTCTTGGGTGAACTCAGAAATGGATATATAGGAGGAACCTGAAAAATTACTCATCCCTTACCATGTGCTGTTAACTGTAGAGAATTGTTTTCTGGGTTCTGACACTGCTTGTTGTTTTAGAGGTTATAGGAATCTATCATTTTCCCCTGCATCTCACTCATTCTCTCCTTCTTAGTTCATTTTGAAAGAAAATAACATTACAGAGCTTCATGTTTAGACAAGTATGTTTTCTTTCTATATTTGATCAGTTTTAAAGATCTGAGATTAAAGAAGAATATTTGAACAGCTTTGATGTAAATAATTGGAAGTGTGATCATACATTATTTTGATGTTTGTGAAAGTCAAAAAAGAAACATTTATTAAGAGATTTGTCAGAAAAGATCTGATTATTGTTTGAAGCCTCAGTAATTTATTAAACATTAATTTAGCTAACAGATTGTGGGGAGGATTCAAAGAAAAGTAGAAACACTGTAGCTTCTGTTGAGGCCATTGCAGCCTAGTCCAGAGTCAGATAAATTAGTGGCTCATTATCTTTATATATATATAAATCACCTGATGGGCTGTAAAACTACAGGCTTCTTGACTTGTGATTTTGTTCCCTTTATCTAGTGATGAAGGTCAGTAGGAATTTGCATGCTCAGTAAGTAGCCCCAGGGATTCTGATGAGTGTGGTTCATGGAACATACTTTGAGAAGCCCCAATGTAAATAAATTAGACAATATCGTAAGAACTTAAAGGAGATCTGGTGAGGCACTATGGGAATACAAGAAGAAAACAACTAACTGGAGAAGTCTGAATCTTCAAGAATGAGGAAGATACGGTGGGATGGGCAGTTTTTCTTCTTTTCTCCCTTCCTTTTGTTTTTTTTATTTTAATTTCCACAGTTCACCTTCCACTAAATCTACGTAGTCCTTGGTTGAGTCACATTGCTTTTGAATAAGGTCATTTATAAACTGTTCTTTTTGGTGCTTCCAAACTTACAGGCCACTAAGGCGGGTGCAGCATCAATGATTCACTACATGGTTCTGATATCAGCTCGTTTGGTGCTACTTACTCTGTGTGGATGGGTACTTTGTTGGACGCTCGTCAATCTCTTCCGAAGCCATTCAGTCCTCAATCTCCTTTTCCTTGGCTACCCGTGAGTACTCTAGTTAACTAATTTTATTTTGTTATTAAGTCTTCTAAGAAATTATTTGGATCATGAAAATGATAGTGTATAAGGGAGGAAAATGAAATTTTTCAAATATAAATCAAGAGTATCAAGAGTTCAGAAAATTGGAAAAATCCATGGGTAGAGTGACCATGTAATTTATTTCCTAAACTGGGATACAATTGGGACAGTAGACATAAACCAAGATTATCCCAGGAAACCTGACAGGTATGGCTCTCTTACCAATGGAGAATATTTTCATTAGCTCTGGTCGCCAAATAAAACCTCCAGGTAATGCCTATATTGGCTCAAATGGTGGTGAACATTAATTGAATGAACTGACTTAACCAGTCTTAACCTTTTGGTCAAATTCCTTTAATCTTTGGATTCATGTAATATGAGTATGCCATATTCAAGCCCTATAGATTTTACACTTTTTTGAGCAATATTTTATTATGGAAACCTTTAAACACAAGATTGAATTTTTCAGCAAACACCTGTGTAACTCCCACTTAGAGTCTACCCATAAATATTTTACTATTATTGCATAACATATATCTGTCCTTCCATTCTTCTATCCCTCTATCCGTCCATCTAACTTTGGTACATTTCAAAGTTAAATTGCAGACCTCAGTTTACTTCTCCCAAAATATATCAGCATATGCCTCCAATAACTAGAGTTGGATATTTGTCTAGTCTTTTCTTTTCCAGTAAAATTCATACACAGTAAAATTCATAGAACTCTTGTGTACATTTGCTGAGTTTTGATAAATGCATGTATCTGTGTAACTCAAAGCCCCATCCCACTATAGAACATCACCATTACTGCAGAGGTTCCTTCATACGCTTTTCCAGTCAGACCTTACCCCTGCCTCCCAGAGGCAACCACTGTTTCGATTTTTTTTCTGCCATAGATTTGTTTGCCATTTCTAGAATTTCATGTAAATGGAACCATACCGTATGTGCTTTTGTGTAAGCCTTCTTTGACTCAACATGTTGTTTTTTAGATTTGTCCATGTGGTTGCATGTGTCAGTAATGTTTCATTGTATGAATATACTACAGTTTGTTTATTCTCCTATTGTTGGACACCTGGGTTGTTTCCAGTTTTTGACTACTATTAAAAATAAAAACTTATGCACATTCTTATGCTAGCGTTTTTTGTGAGGATACCTCTTCCTTCTCTTGAGAGAAGTATCTAGGAGTGGCATTGCTAGGCCACAATATAGGAGTATGTTGGAGTATATATAGTTTTATAAAAGTCTACTAGACTTTTTCCCAAAGGAGTGGTGTCACTTTATCCTCCCATCAATTCTGGAAGAGTCTGGTTGCTCCATGTTTTTGCTAGCAGTTTATGTTTTCCATTTTTAAAATCGTAGCCTTCCTGATGGTTGTATAGTGGTATCTTATGGTACATATTAGCTCATTACACTAATTATTTTGCATATTTTTAGCTTGTATACTTGTATACATTTGGCTAATACTTTCTTCATCAGATATTAATAGCTTGCAGTAATTTATTAAGCTATTATTATGTGTTAAGTGTTCGGCTAGGTGGTGTTTGTAAACATCACCTCATGAAATCATCGCAGTAACCCAGGATGTAGCATATTTAGTCTGCTGTAACAAAGACAAAATACTAGTGGCTTTAAAAAGTTAGAAGTTTATTCTTCTCTCCTGTACAGTATGTGTGAAATGTATCGTGGATAGTGGTGGCAGCTCCTTAGTGTCAAGACCTAGGCTCCTGCTGTCCTTTTGCTCCACCCTCCCTAGCAGCATAGATTGCAAAGGAGGCTGGAAAATAAGTCTTTAGCAGGGCAGCTGTATCTCAACTAAAAATTCTGTTGCTATGGAAGAACAGAACAGTGGCTGTTGGCAGAAAATTAGCAGTCTTTGCCATAGGTTAAAATGGATTAAGTGATTAAAAAACTTTCCCGTGGTTAGACAATGAAGGACTCAGGTCTTTTGGATTCCAGGGCCCTTGTCTTAACCATCAGTCTAAATTCAGTGTTTCTCAAAGTGTGGTTCACAGAACAACAGCATCAGCATCACCTCGAAAATTTGTTAGAAATAGAAATTCTCAGAATCTACCCCAAACTGAAACTGAAATTCTAGAAAGTAGGGCTCAGCAGTTTGTCTCTTAACAAGCCCTCCAGATGATTCTGATGCTTGCTCAAGTTTGAGAATCATTACTTTATACCATTTATGGTGCTGAAGTGTAAGCACGTATTTATATGGGTAGTCACAGTGTAAAATAAAGGCATACTCAGAGATTGTGCAGCCAAGTTGGCAGGAATAGTCATTCTAGCGGTTCTTTGTTAGGTCTAATAATATTGCTTAAACAGTTATTTAAGGCACTCATCAACTCAGTTCATAGAGTGAACTTTATATGTTATAAATATCATTTTTCATGATTCGTATTTCTTATAAGGTGTATGCTATATATTTTACATCAGTTTCTGTATTTCTGTATTAATATTTCAGCTGTTTAAGTTGGTAACAAATGGTTTAGTTACTCTGTTTACCAACAATAGCTGGTTGAATCGTTTAGAAGGTTAACCATATCTAGCTTGGTACGGATATATTAAGGAATATTTTAGCCAGACTGGAGAGGAGTACAATCCCCATCAAAATGGCTAGCAAACTTTTTCATGTCTTTTTAGATATATAAAGAAGCTTACTCATTCTTGGAGGATCTCCACAGCCTTGTAAAACAATGAAATAAGTATGTAATTGAAACAAATTTTAGGTCTAAATATATTTACCTTCTTTACTTTTTAAAAGATTTGTAATTTAACTTTTATCTAATTTCAATTTAAAAACTATCAGAAATAGACACAATGTAAATTGACTGTACTTCAATAAAAAATATACATACCAAAAAAACCAACTATCAAAAATTTAAAATACTAGGTAACTAAGTTAAAATATTAAGGCAATTAGGACTTTCAAGCTAACTTTCATTTTCTTTCACATTTGCTTTAATAAATGCATCATTATTCATTAAAAAATAAAATGATAGGCAGTAGCTGTAACTACATCTTTATTTTCTTATCTATTCATTGGTTAACAAAAGGGACTCCGGCCTCTTTTTTGTTTCCTTTTTTTTTTTGTTATTATTTTAATTTGATTCTCAAATAGCTTCTCAATTTAGTGTAAATTAGTCAAAAGACTAACAGTTGTAGCTCTTACATATATCTTGAATCTGTCCACTGCTCTTCATAATCTCTGCTATTCTAAATCTCCATCTGGTCTTCTGGTAATCTATTCTTGTCATCTTCCACCCTATTTTTCATTGTAGCCAGAATGATTTTCAAAATGGAAGTTGAATTATGTTACTAACCCTCTAAAATTCTTGAATGAATCATTTTCTTTACCTTACAAAGCCGTCCATGCTCTAAACCTTTTTTTTAAACATTTTTTATTGAGTTATAGTCATTTTACAATGTTGTGTCAAATTCCAGTGTAGAGCACAATTTTTCAGTTATACATGAACGTACATATATTCATTGTCACTTTTTTTTTTTTGCTGTGAGCTACCACAAGATCTTATATATATTTCCCTGTGCTATACAGTGTAATCTTGTTTATCTATTCTACATATGCCTGTCAGTATCTACAAATTTTGTACTCCCAGTCTATCCCTTCCCACCTCCCTCCCCCTTGGTAACCACAAGTTTGTATTCTATGTGTATGAAGTCTGTTTCTGTTCTGTATTTATGTTCTTTTTTTTTTTTTTTAAGATTCCACACATGAGCGATCTCATACAGTATTTTTCTTTCTCTTTCGGGCTTACTTCACTTAGAATGACATTCTCCAGGAACATCCATGTTGCTGCAAATGGCATTATGATGTCAGTTTTTATGGCTGAGTAGTATTCCATTGTATAAATATACCACTTCTTCTTTATCCAGTCATCTGTTGATGGACATTTAGGATGTTTCCATGTCTTGGCTATTGTAAATAGTGCTGCTATGAACATTGGGGTGCAGGTGTCTTTTTGAAGTAGGGTTTCTTCTGGATATATGCCCAGGAGCGGCATTCCTGGGTCACATGGTAAGTCTATTCCTAGTCTTTTGAGAATCTCCATACTGTTTTCCACAAACTGCATTCCCACCAGCAGTGTAGGAGGGTTCCCTTTTCTCCACAACCTCTCCAGCACTTGTCATTTGTGGGTTTTTGAATGATGGCCATTCTGACTAGTGTGAGGTGATACCTCGTTGTAGTTTTGATTTGCATTCCTCTGATAATTAGTGATATTAAGCATTTTTTCATGTGCCTATTGATCATTTGTATGTCTTCCTTGGAGAATTGCTTGTTTAGGTCTTCTGCCCATTTTTGGATTGGATTGTTTTTTTCATATTAAGTCGTATGAGCTGCTTATGTTTTCTGGAGATCAAGCCTTTGTCGGTTTCATTTGCAAAAATTTTCTCCCATTCCATAGGTTGTCGTTTTGTTATACTTCTGGTTTCCTTTGCTGTGCAGAAGCTTGTAAGTTTAATTAGGTCCCATTTGTTTATTCTTGCTTTTATTTCTATTGCTTGGGTAGACTGCCTTAGGAGCACATTTTTGAGAGGTATGTCAGATAATGTTTTGCCTATATTTTCTTCTAGGAGGTTTATTGTATCTTGTCTTATGTTTAAGTCTTTGATCCATTTTGAATTTATTTTTGTGTATGGTATAAGGTAGTGTTCTAGCTTCATTGATTTACATGCTGCTGTCCTGTTTTCCCACCATTTGCTGAAGAGACTCTATTCCATTGTATATTCTTGCCTCCTTTGTCGAAGATGAGTTGACCAAAAATTTATGGGTTCATTTCTGGGCTCTCTGTTCTGTTCCATTGGTCTATATGTCTGTTTTTGTACCAATACCATGCTGTCTTGATTACTGTAGCTCTATAGTATTGTCTGAAATCTGGGAGAGTTATTCCTCCAGCCTCTTTCTTTTTCTTCAGTAATGTTTTGGCAATTCTAGGTCTTTTGTGGTTGCATATAAATTTTATTATGATTTGTTCTAGTTCTGTGAAGTATGTCTTGGGTAATTTGATAGGGATTGCATTAAATCTGTAGATTGCCTTGGGCAGTATGACCATTTTAACAATATCGATTCTTCCAATCCAGGAGCATAGGATATCTTTCCATTTTTTTAAGTCTTCTTTAATTTCCTTCATCAGTGTTTTATAGTTTTCTGTGTATAATTCTTTCACCTCCTTGGTTAGATATACTCCTAGGTATTTTATTACTTTGGGTGCTATTTTAAAGGGGATTGTTTCTTTACTTTCTTTTTCTGTTGATTCATCATTAGTGTAAAGAAATGCAACTGATTTTTGAACATTAATCTTGTAACCTGCTACCTTGCTGAATTCTTCGATTATTTCTAGTAGTTTTTGTGTGAACCTTTTAGGATTTTTTATGTATAGTATCATGTCATCTGCATATAGTGACACTTTTACCTCTTCTTCATCTTCGTATAGTGACACTTTTACCTCTTCTTCTAAGCCTTTGATGGTACCCTGTATCAGTTGTCTGTTAACATATGCTGTAACAAATATCCGTAGAGCCATGGTAGCACACCACACTATGTATTTATTGTGGATATGTTGGGGTCAGCTGGAAGTCAGGAGGCTCTCCTGATCTTATCTAGGTTCAGGCTCATATGTGGGATTGACTGGCTCGCTGTCAGTTTAGGCAACTTGGACAACTGAGCTCTGCTGCACAAGTGTCTCATGCTCTGGCAGGTTAGCCTGGACATGGTCACATGAAATTGACAGTGTCAAGAGAACAGGCCTCAGTGTGCAAGGCCATTTCAAGTTTCTGGTCACAGCATGTCTACTGACATCCCATTGGCCAAAACACATCACATCACTGAGCGCAGTATAGATACAGGGCAGGATCATCTTACCCATGGCATGAGGGCTGTGCAGTTACATGACAAGGAAGAGTAAAGAAATGGGGCCATCATTGCAACCTAACACACACCCCAGCCTCTCACCCCCACCACTACACATGCAGTTTGTGTTCAGCAGTATTGAACTTGAAGCCTTCTCTGGCTTGCACAGTTTTGCACATGTGTCAGTTCTTCTGCCTGACAGTTCTACATTTACCCCTCCCGTCGTACTACTCCAGGGCACATTCACAGTGGATCCCAGAGCTGCTGCTAACCATCCTCTTACTTAGTAATAAGCTCATCCTTTTTCCCTCTATAGAAAACTATGAACAGGTGACATTTGTTAATTTTTTAAATAAAATGTATAACTAAATAATAATATGTTTTTTATTTTTTGTTTACTTTTAGCATATGTATTTTTTGTATATAAGATGTCTTTTTATTTGCTATTTTTAACATCTAAATTTATGTCTGTGAAATGACCATTTTATTTATAATACCTAGATCACAATGTGGAAGTTACTTAATGAGGACCTGGGGAAGTGTTTAAAATTTTTTTAAGGAACCAAAGGTTGGAGCAACTATAAGAAGTTATGAAAAGTCTCACAAATATTCAGTCCTTTAAGTAATTCTACTTGTAGAAATTTATTTATTATACTTCTAGAATTGTTTTCATTAATCCACAAATATTTATTTAGTGCCTACTATGTTTCAGCCACTGTTCCAGACATCAAGGATACAGCAGTGAATTAATAAGCAGACTAAAACCTCTGGTTCTTGGAGCTTACATTGTAGTGAGGGGAAGATAGACCAAGGGAAAGAAAGTGAAAATTGAAAAGCTAATAAACATGTAAAATAAGATCAGTGGAGAAAATAACCAGGCAAGGGGAACTAGGTGTGCCTGTGGGAGTGTAGCAGGTGATGTGGTAGGGAGGCGGGGGGGGCCCCTTAGTAAGAAGGAGGAATTTGAAACAAGCCATTTGAAAATTACCAGATGTCCGCAAAGATTTCGGGAAAAGCCTTATCCCATTGGAGTTTGTGATAGTGGAAAATAAGAAACAGTCTGAGTTTCCAACAAGAGGTAAATTATGGTATAGCCATATGAAAACACTATAGGACCTTTTAGAATAGTTACAGAAAAATATTTTATAACACGAGAAAATGCTCAGTACATGCACATACACATAAGCATACACACAATGTTAAAGCAGCAGTATATAAAATAGTCTGTACTGTGTGAAGCTAAACATATCAAAAGTATAAAGTCTGTGCACCCAATTGTAAAAATTATAAAAATGATCATTTCTAGGTAATTTATATTGTAATTGTGATTTTCTGTAGTTCCTGTTCTACAATGAATATATATTGCCTTTGTGGGAAGAAGTTAAGGAGCTTCCCAGATAATGAATTTATCATCAGCAGAATCCCTGTTACTTCATTTTCACTCTGATGTTATGAGATCAGTTATGAGATCTGATCTTAGGTGGCATCTGTGGTCTCATTTTCATCCTCCCTTTTTTCTGCAGGTTTGGTGTTTATGTTCCTCTCTGCTGTTTCCACCAAGATAGTAGAGCTCATCTGCTCCTTACAGACTATAACTATGTGGTTCAGCACCAGGCGGTAGAGGAAAGTGCCTCAGCTGTGGGTGGCTTGGCCAAATCCAAAGACTTTATCTCCTTACTGCTGGAGTCTCTAAAAGAACAGTTTAATAATGCCACGCCCATCCCCACCCACAGTTGCCCCCTGTCTCCAGACCTCATTCGCAATGAAGTAGAATGTCTGAAAGCAGATTTCAACCATAGAATCAAGGAAGTTCTCTTCAACTCCCTCTTCAGTGCCTACTATGTTGCATTTCTCCCCCTGTGTTTTGTGAAGGTAAGTGGCTACTTGGTTTTATATGCTTCCTGGATTTGTGTGTGAATGACATAAACTGGGTATTTCTTATTTAATCCCCCTTTTCTCTGTCTCCCCTTTGGCAGCCTGGATGGTGGAGTTCGGCTGCATCTGGAGTACACTAATACCTGGTTGGTGGATAGATATTTCCATATCTGTGATGCACCTGTGGTGGTCCCTTCTTTTTTCTTTTCTATTTTTTTAAAAATTTTTTTTCCAGTTTCCGGGGAGAATAAACGTGTACAATAGAATCAATATTCTATTGGTAGCTTAAGAGAACTGAGGTTTCAAAAAAATTCAGCTTACCATGGTTGATCTTACTATGGTTATCAGGAGTTTCCTTGAATTTAATGTAACCTCTGTCTAAACTTTAATTTACTTCAGTAGAAAAGAAAAATGGTCTGGATGTCATTTGGGCCCAGAATCTTTTGGGTCGTTTTAGTGCCCTTCCTTCACCCACTGAGAAGCACATCTGCGACCGGAGTGACCACTCACAGAGAGCACTCACTTCTTATAGAAAGGAAACACTTGAAGTATAATTGCCTCTCCAATTGCCTCCCAGCCTAACTCATACAGCCAGAAAGTCAGGTTGAAGGATTTTGGAGGACTCTGCTCTTGAACTCTGCACGGACAGCAGGACAACAAATGCATGTGTGACTCAGTGTGGCATTTGTCTGCAGGGCGTATGTACACGCACCCATCCCTGTCTTCTTGCTCACTAGTACATGGGTCATTTCTCTCTCTTCTGATCTCTTTCAGAGTACCCAGTACTATGACATGCGCTGGTCGTGTGAGCACCTCATTATGGTGTGGATCAATGCTTTTGTCATGCTCACCACACAACTGCTGCCATCCAAATACTGTGATTTGCTACATAAATCAGCTGCTCACCTGGGCAAGTGGCAGAAGCTTGAGCATGGGTCCTACAGCAACGCTCCACAGCACATGTAAGTAGGTTAGAGGGTAAAACCACGTAACATCTTCCTACATGCTGCTGATCACGTTTATTTGCTGCGTATGTCATTCTTGTTCTTGGCTTTGAACATTTTAATTTTTAGTTTTTGTCTACATGGATGCTTGTCATCACTCTAAACTGAACGCAGGGGACTTTAACTCATTTCCGCCACCATCCCCAGTCCCTCCTTAAATGTCTCCTACCTTTCACTCCCCAGTCCCTCTAGAATGTGTAATTTGTTTCCCACGCTATAATCTTGGAGTTTTCTTTCAGTTTTAACCCTTGGCCCAAATTCAAAGAGTCATGATATGTTTTTAATTCTCTTTAGAAGACTGTTAAATCCATCTTCTCATCTTCATTGCCACAGCTAAAAATAGTTGCTAGCTAATCATCTTACCTTAGGCAGCTGGAATTTGTTTCTCTCATCTTTTCTAACAAATGTAAATTTGTTCTAGTAATTTTCCAAGCCTGCATTTTTCACTGTGTCTTTCTTTCCTTCCTAAACTCACTAATGAATGTTGCCCTGCTTCTCCTGTGTTTAAATGAAAACTGTCTGTAATTGAGTTCTTTCAGAGTATTCCTCTCATTGTGTCCCCCGTCAGCCATTTCTCTGCATGTTCCCTATGGTCCCAAATGGCTGACTTTGGAACCCTTTATTCTCCTGCTTCTGAGCCCTTCATCATACCTTTCTCTCAGACCTGTTCCATCTCCATCTCCAACTTCATCTTCCTCCCGTTTATAATTTGAACATTTCACATATTTCATCACCTAGAAATTCTTTCCTAATTAAGTGGGACAGATTGAGGTGACATCCCCTTCCCCTCTCCCCCTAAGCGTGCTCCCTTCAATTATCTGCCTTGATGTCTGATACAGATTAGCACAGGCCTTCAAGCCCAGGAACTGAAAGAGATTGGGCCAGGCTGAAAAGAAACCCGACTGTGGGCAAAGGACAGATTTCAATAAAAATTGAAAATACAATCCACAGTACTAGTACTGTACATCTTCAGGCTCCTGATGGCACATGGCCATGAGGTGTATCATCACTTTAATGCTGGTAAGTGTGAGCAAGGCCGGCGGAACATTTTCTGAACTGGGAAAGCTTCAGGGTGCTAGAATTTTTTTTTCTTTAACATATCTAAAATGCTGTCCCAGTTCTTACCCTAGGAGACTAACCTTTCCAAAATCAGGAAGAGATGAATTAACTTAGATTTTTAAAAAATCTTAACCTGAAGATCCTCATCCCCACCCCAACTCCATTACATTGGTGCCGGAAAGGATGAAGCTTCTTCCGTAACTTCTTTTTCCTAGAGAAACCTCTATAAAAATAAACCAAGAAGGCGGTAAAAAGAAAAGTCTGTGTGTCAGTACCTTGTGTGTCTCTGTGTTCTTCTGTATGGGTTCTCACATATAAAGCATTTGAAGTGTGTAATAAATAAACTGATTTTCTATAGCTTTTTGGGATGCAATTCTGCAGTAAATGCCACGCTAATTTGATAATGTTAATTGATCCACTGTTGTTACCATCCACTTTCTCTTGTTCCCTCTAGCATTTCCTCCGATAGACTCTGCTCACTTGGGACTGAGGTGACAGTCCACCTGCTTACACTCGATTTTCTAGCTCATAGATGCCTTACTTACACATTTACTTCTGCTTGTTCTCCTAAGCCTCTTAAGTCCTTTGACACTTTGCAGTTTCTCTCTACTGTATAGCAATGAAATTATAATAAATCCTTTCTAACTCCTTCCAGTTTGACCGTGGAATAATCGTATTTTCAGAATTCAGGCAGATGAATCCTTGAATACTGAATCCTTCCCATAGAAATAGAGCTGGCCTTGCCAGACGCTGTTTTATCTGTAATCGCCTTTGTGCTAACATTGCATTTCTTTCTCCCTTAGTTGGTCAGAAAATACAATATGGCCTCAAGGGGTGCTGGTGCGACACAGCAGATGCTTGTATAGAGCCATGGGGCCTTACAACGTGGCGGTGCCTTCAGACGTATCCCATGCCCGCTTTTATGCAAGTACCACTTATTTCTTTTCAAACATAAGCTTAGGGGTAAGTGTTAGGAGGCTGCTCTGTGTGTAAGCATCTAGCACAGTGTGTAGCACATACTAGGAAATTAATGCATATAATTATTTCACTACTGTAATGGCCCCTGTCCTTTGCAAATACCTTCTGAAAGGCAGTTTGAAGGTGAAATACCAAGATCTCAACTTAGATAGCTTGTCTGGTTTCTCTAGTTATATTGGAATTTGTTGAGTCCAGAATTACTTGAAAAAGTATACAATTATCTGATTTCCTTTTTCGTCTTACAACTTTTATTTGTAATAGTTTAGTTTAGTGGTGTCCTTATATTGTATCTGTGAATCCTTAAGCAATATTTAGTATAGTAATAATGTGATTTTTTTTTTTTTGGTATTTGTCATATATCTCATCTCCTGAAATATCTTCCCCTTTGAAAGTCAGGCAAATGGCATGATCTGTAGCCTTTCACCTTTTCTTAGATTACAGGGAGAAAAAAGCTTAAAAGTTAAAAAGGAAAAAGCAATAGACACCCAGTAAACCCCATTTCTGTCCCACTTGAATTTACGCCTTGGGTTATGTTCTGTATGATCTTTCAGTTTTCCAGGAATTCTGGCTCTAGGAGGCAGAAGTATATACTTAGAAGGGCCAGCTGATCAATGGGAGTGGGGAAAAGAAGGTAGTGCATTGTCCTTGAGTGGAGATCATATTTATTCTGAAAGAGAATTGGGGGTTTTATTTATTTATATATCCATCCATTCATTCATTCATTTATTACTTAAATCCCTCTCTCTGTCCCATTCTTCCCATCATCCCTTGTGATTCCTTGTGATGGTACGAGGACTTTCTGGTTCTGTGGGTATTTGCTACTAAGGCCTTTTCATTAAACACTGGGAACTTGCCTCAGGGCAGCATTCTTGTAAATACCATGGTAGGGGAGGGTGGGTCAAGGTGAAAGACCCTTGAATGAGGAAACTACAGGCATCTCCTAGACTCCTGTGAGACTGCCTTAAGATGGAGGCATGGACTTAAGTTACAACTGCATAAGCATTTGGTTTCTACATAGAATATTCAATTTAGCCTGTTGAATTCCACAGGCCACTAATGATTTGTGTTGGCCCTTGTGGTCCCTGGGAAACCTACGGTAACCAAATAATTTATTAGAATTTTCTGCTTGAAAATTAAGTATTTTCTTGCTAGTGTTAGACAGCTGAAGAATCAGGTGGAAACCATAGAAGAAAGATTAAGGAAATTAACTTATTACTGATTTTCTGTGACCAAACAGGTGAATCAGTGGTTGTCAAAGTGATGGTTGGGTCACTTACAGATAAGTTACCTGGCTCATTCTTTAAATAGTGATCCTGGGCCCCACCCCCCACCCCCAGCCCAGACTTCTGAGTCAATCTATGAAGGATCTCAGGTATTTTCGGTATTTGCATATTTAGAAATGATTCTTAGGCACACTGAAGTCTGAGGAAACTCACTTAAAATGTGCCTGTTACGTATAGCTATTAGAATTTAAGGTCTGTCCTCGCATTTCCTCATTCAGTTTATGGCTTATTAGCACATTTAATGATGATTGTTATAATGCCACAGAATCTGAAATAGCCTGAGGTTTTTTTTAGAATATTAATTCTGAGCCAATGTTATACATATTACTGGATATCATGTAATAAAACCCAGATTAAACATTTTCTTCCTCCCACAGAAGAATCTTGAGTACCTGGCTTCCTTTCAGAGCTGTCATGATAATTTGGCTTTATTCTCAGATTTGAACCCTGAGGTCTGAATCAGTTCTAATAGATCTAATATGCTACTGTTACCACAGTTTGCCACCTGTGACTTCTATCTTTCTATTCATAGTGCATTTTTATTAGTCAACCAGGATTTAGCCTTTCTGAATAAAGAATTTGGTAGGACTGAAAATAGCTCTGTTTTAACCAAACTTTAATTCTGACTAATTTTTCCTTTATTCTTTTCAATATCCAGAAAAACTAAATAAAAGAAACAGCATGGTGGGTGACAGTTTAAGAAAAAATTAAGAAATTACTGTATAGATATTTCAACTTAAAATACCTCCCCTTCCTCCACACTTGTCTAATATAGGTGTTTATGTCTTAGACCAGCCCACAAACTAATGATTTTTATATTTTTAAATTGTTATGACTTACCTACATTATATCCTTAGTTTTTGCCTTTTGACTTACAAAGTCTAAAATATTTCCCATTTTGTCCTTTATTTAGCCCTTGTCTTAGATAGATAAATATACTTCTGGTTATCTCAAATAAAACATATACCTAAGGTATAATCTAGGAAAAATCTTTAGAGCTAGAGTTCTTTTGGATGTAATCCCTTTTCATGTCTCAGGGGCATTAAAATAAAATATATTTCATTATTCCTTGAGCAAAAAGGAAAAGGTTTGGGTCTCTATAGCAAGAAATAGCCTGATTGGTATTCAATAAAGATACCTACTCGTTAGTGCTTAGGAACATGTAAATATGAAATAATTTTAGAAAAGAATGTGAAAATAACTACAGTCTTTTTTATGAAATAACCTTTGCTTTTTAACTTCCTTACAGTTCCTATTTCATCGTCCATTAAGGCTGTTAAATCTGCTCATCCTTATTGAGGGCAGTGTCGTCTTCTACCAGCTCTATTCCTTGCTGCGGTCGGAGAAGTGGAACCACACACTCTCCATGGCTCTCATCCTCTTCTGCAACTACTATGTTTTATTTAAGCTCCTCCGGGACAGAATAGTATTAGGCAGGGCATATTCCTACCCACTGAACAGTTATGAACTCAAGGCAAACTAAGCTGCCTCTCAACAATGAGGGAGAACTCAGATAAAAATATTTTCATACGTTCTATTTTTTTCTTGCAATTTTTATAAATATTTAAGATATTTTATATTTTGTATACTATTATGTTTTGAAAGGCGGGAAGGGCAAGGGATATTAAATGTATCCATGAACAAGGTGATGTGATCTTTCATGTGTTAGTGTATTTGAATAATATACAGGGGAGAGGTGCACCTCTCCAGTAAAGAGATTGATCTGTTTCTATGGCTCTGGAATAACTCATTCATTTATGAACACATCTCATATATCACTTGACACAGTGCCTTTGGTGTGTCTGCTTTCCTTCTCGTCCTTCATACTAGCTTTAGTCCTCGGTTGGCCTTATTGCTACACAAAGGGAACTCAGTGGAGTTGCCTGACAGCACTTGTTCTTTTTCTTTGACTGGCTAATAGTGTTGGAATACATTGGGGGAAAGTAGGGTTTAGTCCTGGGTGGAATTCTCTTTGTTGCCTACTTGGTGGAGGAAGCATTTCTAAGATAAGCAACTCAGCATTCTATCTGCCCTATGACATTTAAATGTGCTTTTGAATAATCTACCATCCTGAAACAGGAGATTGCTATCATTTTCTCTGTTTATTACACTTCTTTTGCCTCTGAAGATTTTCCTTTCATTGTTAGCTGTTTGAAATAATACTTTTTGGGACAGAATAGAATGCCCACACTCATAAAGGAGCTGGTGTGTGACTGATCTTGGGAGAGGATGAGCACAGATGCCCTGCGTGGGGTCTGGGCACGTTGAAGACACCAAGTAACTGGAAGAGTGGCTGCAGTCTGGCAGCAGTCCCCCTACAGTGGCATGTTTGGAGTTGTGAACGGAAGTGAAATATGAGAAGTTACCTCTTTGTCCTCGGGTAATTTGATCTACGTGTGTTTTTAATTTCACACTCTGGAAACTGCATCTGTGAACAGTAACCCTTTTTGGTCTGTGTTCTTGAGAGGTGATATGCTTAGTCAGTTGATGTCAGTAGTCATCTAAACTCCTGAGGCTTTGTCTTGAGTGCCTGAAACAATTCTAATATGTTTTCTATGGTCACTTTGGGTTTTTTTTTACACTGAAGCTTTTGGTGAAAACACGGTATGGTTTATGAAGTAAAAAGACCAATCATGTAATTCATGAACTGTCTCTGAAAACAGTTCTTGCAGAAAAGTTCCCAACAGGTTTTCAGCAAAGGCAGCCTTGTGAGGAGTAGGTGTGTATACAACTACCCAAGGTGACTGCTCTAAGTTAACCATTGTTTCCTTACATATCTTGATGGGTACACTTTTATTTTTTTAAAGTTACATTATTTGGCATTCAGTCTGAGTCTATTTGGTCACTGAACAAATATACATTGACCACCGGGCACTATGTTAAGCATTGAGGATGTAGCAGTGAATAAGAAATGCAAAGGCCCTATACCATAGAGCTTACATTGTGGGGGGTGGGAGGTGCAAAATATACCATAAATAAACTTACATATATTATGTCTCCTGGTAGTTATAAGTGTGGTAAAGAGAAATTAAATTAAGGTAAGGAGATAGACAGTGCTGGGAATGGCACTGCTTGAAAGCATCTTTGAGGAGATGATTTTTGAGCAAAGACCAGATGAAGCAAGACTGAACCATTTGAATAGTTTTAGGGGGACTTCCATGTTACAGTAACAGCAAGGGCGGTGAGTGCCCTCAGGTTGGAACGATTTTGGTATATTGGAAAATAGCAAGATAATCAGTGTATTGGTTGTTTCTTGTGAAGTGATTCAGCCTAAGTGTGGTGGTTCTTGGAGTGGGAGTGGGGAGAAAGCTGCCATCCCCATATTCTTTCCTTAGGATCTTGAACATATGCTGCTTTTGACTAACTGACATTTTGATGAGTCACTTGACAGCTGAGAGCAAAATGGGTGGCCTGGGCACAAAAATGTCACAATGGCCCCAGGTTGGCTCTGTCATTGAAAAGCAGCCTAGATAACTGATTAGAGATAATAGACTAGTCTTGTAAACTGCCATGATTCCCCCTTTTGGTTTGACCGGTCTTGGCCATATCCTAAAGAAGTAGCACAGGAGGATCGGATGCCAGCTTGGCTAAAGAAATGAGTGAATATAATAAATAAAATTTAATTTTGACTAACGGAATTACAAAGTGTCCCCCTTCTCCTTCCAGATATGACAGCATCCGGGAGATTAAACCCTCAGTTCATCATGGTCCTACTTATTTCAGCTGTCCTTTGTAGGTTTCATAATCAGATGGGGGATAGAGGAATTACTAGTTACCTGTATATCCTATTACTTAGGGATCATGTGAAGGAAAGGATACCATCTTCGTTTAGTGATGGGAGATGCATACGCATTAAAGAATGGATTTTCTTGTAATTGTTAAAAGTTGGGAAATGGTGTGTGGAAAAAATGTTACAGCAAAAGATCAGTTAGGTGAACCGGGATACTGGGAAAGGAAAAGATGCTTGACCAGTTTTCTGGGTGGCTTAAAGTTAAGTGTGTCAGTAGAAGGGGGTTATTCACAGGCATTAGCATGATGGAAACATTCGTCAGCATCCTGTTCACTCTGACTCCGTGTTATATTCCCTAAGCTGCTTTCCCTCCCCTCCCTATCAATAATCACCTACACACCACTCCTCTCATTTCTGTTACTGAGCAATTATTATGTGTCAAATTACTGCTGTGTGCCAGAGTTCACAGTACCTTGTTCAGAGTACATTAACTTCAAGTAATTGTAACACAAAGGTGTTCAGTTAAGGAGGCACATACAAGAGACAGAAGTGATGTAGAAAAGAGTGATGAACTTTGCTTGGAAGCTGCAGTGTCAGGGAAAGCTTCACTGCATCAGTAACACACATGATGCATTTTAAAGGAGGACTAGTTTACCACAGAGATGAGGGAGTGGGGGCTCAAGCAGAAGGAACAGGATATACAAAAACTTGTAGCATGGATTTGTACTAGGTTTTTAACTAATAGTTCAGTTATGCTGAAGAGCTAGATAAGGAATAGATTCGAGTGACTTGAATTCCACATTAAGTGGTTTGGGCTTTTATTTTGTAGGTCACAGATTGTCAAAGGAGTGATCCTTGGACACTGCATCAGATCTACTAAGTCAGAATCATTAGGGTGAAGCCCAGTAATATGCCCCTTTCACAAGCACTTCAAATAATTCTTAAGTGGACAGAAGGCTGGGGACTTCTGTCGACAGAAGACATCTAACGAAAGATTTTTAAGCTGAGGACTTGTGACCCAAAGAGTTCTCAGGTCAAGGGGCCAGGAACTGTAATCTCTGGACGAACAGCACCAGCATCAACTAACTGGGAACTTGTTGGAAATGGAAAATTTCAAGCCCTACAGTATAGTCAGAAACTGGGTGGATCCCAGAAGTCTGCACACACTCTCCAGGTGATTTTGATGAGAACCGCTATCCTACCTTAGATATCTTTGACAGCAATACGTAGGATAGGTTTGGAGAACAGGGGAATGTAAATGAGACTTAAAGCAGGGAGACCAGTTAGCCAAACATTTAAAAAAGTCCATGTAGGAAAAAATGGGAGTAGGGGTGGGATGACATCCTTGGGTGACAGAAAAAGCCATGGACATGAATAAGATAATGCAGGGAAAGTATGTGGAGTGAAAAGAGAAGGAAGGACAGAATTCTGGTGAATAACAACATTTAAGGGCAGAGGGAGAGGAAGCTTTCAAGTGAACAAGACTAAGAAAATAGAAGTCCAAGAGGTGAGGTGAGTCAGAATTTGAAGAAAGGAATGATGAACAGTATCAAATACAAGAGGAAAGTCAAGAGACTGAGAATTGGCTGTTAGATTTGGTTATTTAGACCATTGGTAACTTTAGCAGGAGAAACTGAATGGAGCAGTGAGGGTGGAGGTCAGGTTGCAGTTGGTTTGGAGTAGTGAATTGGAAAGGAGGGCTCTTGGGAAGAGGAATAGCACTTCCTCTGAGCTAGAAAGGGAGGCTAGGTGCACACATATAAGGAGAAGTGGCGTTGGGAGGTGGGGAAAACACATCTGATAGCATAAACTGGTAGTGAAGTAAGAAGCAGTTACTTTGGGGGGAAGTGGTCCAGCTAGGATGAGGAATAGCCTTTGTGAGTTTGGGGAATGCGACCATTGCTGAGTTGGTAAACCATAAACTTCCAAAGGCTCACATCAGGGGTTTATGGTTTTCTCTGGTCTAACTCAGCAAACACAATAAAAGGCTAGAGACGATGGGTGGTAAGAATCCTGGTCCTGGCTTGGAGGTTTGCCAAGCAGGTATGGCCGAAGGACTGTTCAGCATCAAGGGAGTTAACGGTGCTGCTGAGGAAAGCCGAGATGATGCATGTTGGGGTCTGGAAAAGCTAGGGAAGAAGAATGTAGTTTGGTGGGATACAGTCCATCAGAAAAAGGAATGGGCCAGGCATTAGCAGTCTTGAGCAAGTAGAAGGAATAAAGAAACCAGGAGAGAGGCATTCTGGTAAAGAAATGCGGAAGTTTAGGATCACAGAATTCTGGGTTGTGAAATAGCCTGATATGTAACCCTGGAAGCAAATGGTCAAAATTGAGTAGAGTCAAAGGTGGAAGTGGTTGTGGCAAGGGGTTGGGTGACTTTTCCTCAGGAACATTGAAATCATCCAGAATGATGGTGGGACACGAGGTAGAGAGGAAATAGGGCGCCTGGTGTCAAAGACTGGGAAATCTGGGGCATGGACTACATCATGGCCACAAAGAATGGAGAAGTTAAAATAGCTGGATGCCATAAATTTCAGTAACATGAGATTTTTGTATGAGATGGGAAAAACTGGTGCAGAAGCAGGAGTATGAAACTGGATAACGTTGCTGGGCTTTTTGTGGAACAAATGGGCAGGGAAAGAAGTCCCCTCTGGTGAGTGTCAAGTTTTATTGACATCTAAGAAGTGGAGGCAACGTTCATTGAAGAGATTGCAAGGAGGTAAGGGCTCTAGAAGAACTGCAGGAAAGATGAGGACTGAGGGGGACTGAGTGTTGCCAGTTTGGGGGGTGGGGCAGGGTGGCGGGCTTATTCTGGATAGAGAAACGGAAGAGTGGGGATCTGGGAGTACACAGGAGAAAAAGGCATTTAGGGCAGTAATGAACAGGAGCAGGCCAAGGAGTGTAAAGTTCTAAATAAAATATTGCCAAAATACTTGTATGTTTATCCCCTTGGCAACAGTATTTTTCACTGCAAATATTACTAGGTTGTGAGCCTAGGTTGTATGATTATTTTTCTAAGGGCCTGCCATTTCCACCCATTGAGTGCCTCTCCTACCCCGACCCCCTTTTGTGATAATATATGCCATTATAGCAAACTTCTTCCACCACCCCCTTCTCTGCAACCCAGAGCACCATTAACATAATCACTGGGTAGGGGCGGGGGGAATAGTCCTTGATTAATTCAAGTAATAGAAAAATTGAGTTCGCACCTCTGCAGGTAGACCCACATAACTCCTTTAAGCTGTGGAATTTTGAGAAGTGACAGCTTTTTTTTTCCTACTCATTTTTTCATTACAGTATCCATTGATTTATACTGGGTATCTTGGGTAACATGTATGATTGCAACATAAGAGAGTGAAATTGAAGTTGCACATGTTTGACAATTACTAAGTTGTAAAATAACAAAAACAAGAAAATCTTACCGAAGCAAGCCATCAGGACTTTTGCTGTGAGACCAGACCTTGAAGTAATAAAAAATGACATCCAACAGAACAAACTAGAACAATGAGCCTGAATGCATATAATCCACTTTTCCTATTATTGATTTCAATGACCTCCATGTCCTCTAGTTCATAGTGCCACCGTGAGCTTTATATTTTATATCATTTATTAGAGTATACTTTTAAAGCATAACAATCTGTTTTAATTACATTTAAATGTCTCTGGATAGGTTTAATATTTATGCTTTTTTAATCAATAGAGAAACATTTTGATTATATCTTTGGAAACATTTGTCAAGCTCAACAGCTGAAATTGTGTGGCTGTTTAATAGACTCCTTTGAGAAAGTGCTTTACCTTGCAGAATTATAAGCCAGGAAATACTATGGCATTAAGTTAATGCAAAGCATTGTGATTTGCCAAGTAAAACACACGGCTGTGTACTTTCATGGGTTTCTTATATTTAACTACATCCTCCTTCATCCTTGTAGAAGTGATCCCTGCATTGCTCATGAACTTCAATACTACTAAATGATCTACTGTGTGCCAGTCAGTGACAGCCCCAATTTTATACTAACTGGATTGACTCTGATCTCAGGGAATCATCCTTCTACCATCTCCCATTCCTCTCACATGCTTGAAAAGGTGCTTGTTCCTTCTTCTGGCCTCACCTTACTAGGAAAGTTATTGACAAAGAAGGACACATTCTTTGTCATTCCACATTTTGAACTGACTTTCCTGCTAGAAATGACTAAAATCATATTCCTGGCAACACTTAACCCCAAGATTCATGTTGTCATCAGATAGCACAGGCCATGGTAGAATGTGGCCCTAATCAATCCTGGTGGGAATTAGACCTACCCTGAACCTCTCCCATTCCAATCCCAGACAAATGAATCTTATGTTTCCCAGTAGCTCTTCAGGCAGAACACAAGGCCTGTGTAGACAAATGACTGTCCCACTCAACTTTAGTCAAGTAGCATTATCACTTGCTAAACATTAGCTATAAAAGTAACAATTTATCTTGGACCTATAATGTCATCATCAACAAGAGTTAACCCATTTCATGAAGATGGAAGTGTCTAAAACCCCCTCTCAAGGAGTATGGAACCCTGATATCTGGCTCATTTGCAGAGATCCAACAGGACTTCACAACCCAACCAATTAAGATCAGGCAAAACCTCAGAACTATTTATTTTTAGTTACCACTCTCTAATTTTTTTTGATAAGCAAAATTTTCAATAACTGAATATATTCCTCGTACCTTCTGGATTTGTAAGTGTGTTTAATTTGATTAAAGTCTTAGGTAACCTCAACACTATTAACAATCATATTAAAAGATGCTAAGTCACTATGTATTTTCCCCTTCTGCTTTCATTTGGTAACTTAAGGGTTCTAAATCTTGCTCCTGGTTGCTTATGGGATGTTTCATTTGCTACCCTTTCCCCCTTTTCATTAAACTCCTCAAGAATTTCAGGTTCTAGGGTACCCAGTGCAATATTACTAAGCGCTTGATAAATACTGTCTGTTGAAGATGATGATGTTTACATTTTAATTTTCACAGAACCCAGAATTTTGACTTGGCCAATATTTTTAATTTTAGAGCTTAGATTAGGCTAACAATGTCTTAATGGGGCTTTTGGTCAAGCCTCCTCATATTCCACTTGAAACAGAATAAAAACCAAATTCCCTCTACCTAGTACATTTTGGCAAAAAAGAAGAAAAAAGGCCTGAGAGCTCCATATTGCCAATAAGTATAGATTATTATCTTCTTAAGCAACCAGTAACACTGAAAGAAACATTAGAATATGCATGCATTTCACTTCAAATTCAACATTTAAAATCAGCCATCCTCACTTTGAGGACTGGTAGTTGATTTGAAGGCACATTTAAGAATTTGATTCTGTAGCCCTTTCCAGGGCACCATGTAAGTCCTCCTATGAACAGCAGTACCTCTTCTGTCCTTCTCCTGGATGGAAGCAGGCAATCTGATTCCCCCAGCCATTCTCAGAGGTTTCATTTCTCAGTCCCAAGTGGATGACCAAATTGATAATTTCAAAAGATTTGGGAGAACAATTTCAGGGGAAAAATGTAATGAGTTTTCTCTGTCATGGAATGGAATTTCACCAGTGCTAGACTAGTCCCAGCTCACAAGAAGTTTATGAATATGGAGAGGTCCACACTTTAGCAGCAGGACACAGACCAAGAAGGTGAGTTGGCTTCCAAGGCCTTCCCGATTGATTGGCTAGGAAAGCTCAGAGTAGGGAATGTCTCCAGACAGTTGTCACCTCATGATGACATTCATACACTCACACTCCTGAAGATGATGCTACAAATGAAAGATGTCGGAGTCTAAGGAACATGGCAGCCACTTAATAAATCTATGTAGGAACCTCAAGTTGAACTCGCCTGTTAATGTGTAAATGGTGGCTTCTCAGTCGATCTCCAAATAAAAATATATCCTCTAAGTGTTACAAACAAAAATTTAAAATAATCATAAAATAGTTTAAATATTACTCGGCTCAGAGTGCTGATGGTGAAAAAGTGCGGTTCCCACCCTCTCTCACATTCTAACTGGAACATGGTCTTTATCGAAGCATAGACACCACAGTGCATGAAGATTGACATAAAGCCTACCACACTTTCTGATAAGGCAGGAATGTACTTTTCAAATCTGCTGAACATGGCCCTCCTCATTTAGCACCGCTGTATTTCTTCACCTTGCTTGCCTAGTGGGGATAATGCTGTACCCTAGGACTTTCCTTAGGGGTTTACAGCTTATTTGCTGTCGGTCCAATGTCTTGCTCACCCAAAAAGAATGCAGAAGACACTGACCAAAGGCCTATTAATTGCTTCCCTTGCTCACTCATGTCAGTGCCCTCTGAAAGCAGAACTCATCATCTGGCCTGCTAGTTATCTCTGCCGTAGACACTGGCTTAAAAGGTTTGGGCAAGATTTCAAAGCTGTTTGTAAAGCTTATCAGGGAAGGAGAGAGAGGAGTATGTATCTGCTGCAGGACATCAGCCTCTAATCTCTCACTGGAGGAGGTAACTTTAGTTCAGCCCCTCCCCAGCCCAGCACCAGCCTTGGTCATGAGGTTTGCCCAGAGGTACTTCAAACCCTTAGAGAAATTTCTGCAGTGACTCAACTAGACAGAGCAAGCCCTGACCTGAGAAGAGGTGCATGAGACTACATATAGGTCCTACCTGTCTTTGTTTCTCAAACAAGACAATTGTTTTAGAAGGTTTGAAAGTGTTGATAATCCTGATGGGTTTTGCTTTGAGAAGGGCTCCTGAGAAGCCCTTTTTGGAAGAGCACCAAAAATCTGCCAGCAGGTTATGTTGGTTCTCCTTCCTCTCTCCAGCTGAAAAGGAAAGAACCATTTGAAGTTCTAAATAACGGAAATAAAATTAGATTGGTTTATTGCTTCTGCTTGCATACAGACAGGAGAAGAGCAAGTCGGAGTGCCTGGGGTGGGCAGTGGGTGAGAGGGATTATAGAAGGGAGAGGGCTGCCTCATATTGCTCTTGAGCAGTGGAGGGAGAAAGGAAGGCACCCCCGGGTTAAAATGAAATACATTTTCAAGAAGGGCAGCTCTCACCAAACAGGAGTGATGGCCACCCTGCAAGGGCATTTCCCTCTTCTCCTGGGGCTCTCCCCCTTACCTTCTCCAGTACTCTGGTCCGAGCCTAGTGTGGAAGGAGAGTGAAGCTGAACTAGAGGTGCTTTCACTGATTTAACCATTTAAAGTTTGGAGTGTAGTTCCGCCTATGGGTGAGGCTGATACTGGAAGGAGAGCAGATCACTTCATTTCACTACCGCATACCTAAATGAAGATTCAGCGCATTTCATTGAGGTAACTCTGTCCGGCTACTGGATTAATAAATCAGAGGGCAGGATAATGGCAGTTGGAATCCCAAATGAATAAAAGCTAAAGCCAGAAAGTCTTCCTGGATTGTGCCAGTCTCAGAGTGAATATAGATTCTGATTTTCTATGCTGGTATATGGAGCCATCTTGGACAGGTCTGCAGGGATTCCAGGGAGGGAGCATGGGTAAATTCACCCACTTGGATATCTAAGTGTACATTAGTTTGCATTTCCAAATCTGCTTCTATTCTGGATAGTACACTTTTACAAAGCTTATCAGAAAACTGGTCTAAAAGAACACATGCTTTAAAGAGCATTAAAAAGCATGAAGTAAATAGGAGGCCTTCAGACCTCGATAGCAACATTTTCCAACACAGGCAAAGGATTTCTCTTTCTTTCATATCAAATTAACACATCAACACATCCAGCTCTCAACAGTAATAGCTAATGGCGATGGGGAAGTGATGCAACTCATAAGCCCCAAGTCTCACTGAAGACCAGCATTTCATCCTTTTCCTTTACCTGACCTGTCCCTGCCTGGTCATATAGGCTTATCTGAATTTCATCTCTTGGTCCTTCCCTTGACCTTTCTTCTGGCAAATGGACTAATTAATAAATGGCCAAAAGGCTGAAGAAAGAGAAGAGGCCACAATAAGCCCGAACTTGGATAACCTCTACCTGGAATAAAGGCAAGTTATTCCTGTAATAACTTCCGGGTGAATCATGGCATGTTTTTCAGACACCAGCAGGTGAGCCGATGTCATTCTATTTGCCTCCCACTTCTTCCATCCAGAATCACTGATCTTCGCTGGGGCTGGTAAAAACAACTGGTTGAGGTCTCTAGTCTCTGGCCATTCTTAGGGATGGTCATTTTATTCCTAAGTGTAACCCCTTCTGGTGTGACCCATGTGTTTTCTGCCAACTCCCCACAAAGAAGGCCAGGGGAAATTGTCTGGGTGGGACTTCTGATAGGGGACAGTAGGACCTTGGAATCTGTCACTGTGGATGAGGTGGGTGGATGGTCCATAATGGGGAAAGGAGGACTGAATAAGATTAGGCTCTGAGGTCTTCCTGGTCTTGACCTGTGGAAAGGCTTAGAACCCCCTGATGGTCGCTCTATTTTTGAAGAAAGAAGATTGTCCCCAGATGGCTCTGTCTCTGATGTGCGCTTTCTACATTGCACTACTGTATCCTGGGTGGAGAGCAGGTGAGCCAAACCCAGTTCTGGAGAAAGGGTGGGCTCCTCACCCATGTGGCATGTGGTGGCATCTATTGGCAAGGACTCGATGGCTTCTGTATCTTGCTTTGGTTTCTCTTCCTTTGGGCTTTCTGAGGAGGAGAAAGAATCATCTTTGGCAAGTTTCTGAGAGGTCCCACCAGTTGAGCCAGGTTCCTCCTTGCTCCCCTCCAGAGGCTGAACCCTACTCTCTTCTGAGCTCTGAGAGGGCAGGGGCTGTGGGATCTGAGTATACTGAATCTTCGGTGGGATGACTGGGACTGCCCTGGCCTGGCACATTTTGACCATGAAGGAGGTTCTCACAGCTGACACACTCACGGGAGCTGAGTTACGGCGGCCTGTCAGGGCATGAGCAATGATGTCCAGGTCCTGAGAGTCCTGGGAGTAAACCCTCCAGGGGTCTACTTTACAGTGAGATGAGGTCATCCATGTGACCTGTGGATCTCCTGGCTCAGAGAGCTGCATTCCAGGTGAACCAAATGAGGCCACATTCTCAAACTGGAAGAGGTCAGTAATGGGAATGGCAGAGTCCAAGTTGAGAGAAGAAGGCCTATTTTTCCCTTTGGGGGGCCCACACTCAGTACTCTTCAGCTGTAACTTGGGGGGATGCTCTCCAGGTGAGGTGCTGTCCTGCACACCAGGTGACTTCTCCTTGCTGCTCTCTGGCTCAGGAGCACTACCTTGCTCAATCTGAGAGCTATGGTGCCCCAGGTGTGTCCCCAGTTCCTTTCCCTCTGCTAAGTTGACGGGGCTGGTTTCTGCTGATTTGGACTGCAAACCACCTGGTCCCTTCTGGTTGGGAGGAGCCTCTGTCCTTTTTAAGGCAGAGAACTCTTGGAAGGACCTCATGGCTTTCTCATCCCATCCAGTAATCTCTCTCCTGGGTGCCAAGGGCTGCAGAGGGTCAGAATTCCTCTCTGCATCAAGATTAGCACAGCTGCTGGAGGAGGGACCCTCAAGAGTCCACTGGCTCTTAACCATGGTTTTGCTGTCTAGAGAGTGGCTCTGGCGAAGGCTGGGCCGATGGGAAAGCCTCTTCTCCAATCGGTGGCCCTGGGCACTCTGCATCTGGGCCTCTTGTACATCTTTCAGGGTTGGGGAGTGAAGGGGACTTGTCACCCACTGGGGCTCCTCCAAGGGCTCCACCATCTCCAGGCCATGCTGGGCAATATCTGTCACAGTGTCGTCTTCATCACAGTCTGAAGGCTCCTGTACTGAGTGGGTTACATCCCCCTCTCCTTGTGGGGAGGGAACCTCCCTGGTTGGGCTGGGAAAGCTAGAGTCTTTTTCCTCAGGAGCAGCATTCTTTGAATTTTGCTTTTCGTTTTGTTCTGGAGAAGCCTCGACTCCCTGACAAAGACTGGGAATCCCAGGGCTGCCTTTGAAATTGAGTTGGTCTATATATGGATTTGTTCTCAAATTCCTGGATGGGTCTTCTCTCTCTGGGTCGCCTTTCGATGGATGGACTCGAGGCGCTTCCTCCATAAGAGCTGGTGGAGGAGGAGCAGGCGGGAGGAGAGGAGACCGATTCCCTGGGTCTCCCACCTCCACACTTGCTTGTAGAGAAACCTTCTCAAATGGAACTATTTCCAGAGGAGTCAGGCTGGCGGGATCTGGGCGCGGGCCCTTCTCAGGCTCACATCTGTGGAGGAGGCTGGTTGCCTCCGACTTTTCTCTATTGGCTGCTGTGGAAGCTCCCTGTGTGCTCTGATTGGTTGAATCTTTAGCCCACTCCCCCAGAGGGGCGGAGACTTGAGCTGGGGTGGAGCCACAAGGCAAGTTCCCAGCGGGCTCTGGGGAAGCAAACGGCCCTGGACTAGACTCAAGAACCAGCTGAGCTGGGCTAATCTTTAGGGCAGGTGGTGGCAACGAGGGGAGTTCCTCCTCAGATTCAATAATTTTCAGCTCTTGTTGAATCTCAGGCCAGAGCAGAGCGTTGGCCAGATCATCTTCATCCTGAAAAACATCAAGAAACTGATTACTTAGAACCAAGGACTCCCGGCGCTGACCTCCGCACCGTTTCCCAGGGAGAGGGAAGGGACTGGAGCAGTTCCCGGCTGGCTACCTCAGCACGTAAAGGCCACAGCATTAATGACAATTCCTATTTTAGAGATGAGGAGACCTATGTTCAAGCAGATTAAACAATTTACGTACGTCCCACAGCAGAGACCAGGATTGAAATCCAGCTCATTCTACACCAAAATATACACACTTAATCCCTGTGCACTGTTGCCTTATAAAACAAACCAATCCCTGAGCTCATATAACCTCAGGTTGAATGGGTAGCTCACAAGAATGAGCTTCTCCCAGTAGAACGAAAATGTTAACTCTTTCCCTGAAACCTGCTTTCCAAACAAATAAATACTTTTCCCCCTGCGTATTACCTTATGTAAAGAAATACATATCCCACATGGAAAAAAGTAATACCTATTAAAAGAAAGAAGAATGAAAAATAGCAAAATGATAACAGTCCTACTACCCAGAGATAACCACTGTTAATGGTATCGGTGCTTCCTCCTCCATCCTGTTTGCTGTCCCTGTCTCCCCTCAAATCCAACTTCTTTGTCCTTCTTGGCTCCATCCTTTCCTTACACAGAGCCCAAGTTGCAGATGGGAAAGTGATGAAGGGAGGGATGGTCAGGGCCAGGGAGTCAAATTTCAGTTCCTTTTGTTTCTTGTCTCAAGGCCTAATTCAGTCCCAAGGAGAAGCAGTTTGGGGGTAGAGGGGTGGGGGTGACATTTGTAGGCAGTGGGAAGTGGGCCTTTCTGGGAAGTCTGACCTGCTGCCAACCTGACATCACTTCTCCCATGGCTCTGATCACATGTCATTTCACATTATGTTAACTTGATGCTTATCTTTCCCAATGGAGGCCTGTGAGCTCCTTAATCAGGAATTATATTCATCCATCTTTGATTACTCCAGACCAGATGATGCCTGGTATACTGTGAGTAATTGCTCAGTAAGAGGTCTGTGAATTAAAATAGATTCATTGTTTTCTTTCGAGTTATTGCCTTCAGATAACTTCAGGAGGCAATTTTTTAGATCTGATCCTACTATATTGCATGTATCTGTGTACATTTCTATTTCACCTACTAGACTGTGCCCTCCTTCAGGACAGAGGCATTTTCTTACTCTCTGCAGCATCTACAGTATTAACCTCTTACTAATAAATGCTAAATTTAGATGAATAAATGAACATCTAAACTCCCCTCCGCCCCACTCTGCCCTTTCAGTAAGTGGAACATAGTACATCTTTTGCTCAGATCAGGAACCGATGGGGTGTCCTTGACTCATCCTTCTTCCTCACTCCTTAACCAATCCTTCATCAAGTCCTGTTCACTCGACCTTCCAAATAGTTCTGGAAGCCTTCCATTTCTACCCCCGGCACCCCCACCCTAATCTGAGCCACCATCTGTTCTTAACTGCACTGCCCCAGACTAGCCTTCTAATTGGCATCCCTGCCTCCTCTCTTGTCCTTCTCTAAGCTATTCTCCTCACAGAATACAGTGACCTTTAAGATAAAATTCTGAACAAATCAGAAGAGTTTCCATCGCCCTCAGGTTATTCAAGTCCCTTGAAGCAGCCCTGCCTGACGTGCTGCCTCCCTCTGAGCTGTACTTGCTGTAGTCCACGTTCACGTTCTCCAGCTTTGCTCTCGTTCCTTGAATGTTTTGTGCTCTTTCCCATCCAGATTTACGGCAATCAGAGCCCTATTCCTATTCTGCCCCAACCCCTTTCTTCTAGCTAAGTTCTCAATCTAAATGTTTGTTATTCAGAGAAGCCTCCCCTGGCACTTGTGACCACCCCACCCCACCCCACTCCCTCTGACTGGGTTGGGTCCTCCTATTATATTTCCACAGAATTCATACTTTCATATCCCCCTAGAAATGACTTGTTTAATGACCTTTCACCTACTAAGCGGTCAGCTCCAGGAAGATTGGGACAGTGACCGTCTTGTACACGACAGTGATCCCAGTGCTCAGCCAAGCGTCTGACACAGTCAGTATATAATACATAGTTTTAAATGAATGAATGAACTGATGCCTTTACTTGTTCCCATGAATCCAGCCTGGTTCTTCTTCTAATATCACCTTTATCTGCTTCTTAAGGCAATGTCCCTCATACTTGATCCCTTTCAGAATTCAATCTTTGTATCCTCCTTCTACAAATACAAGCACACCCTTTAGGAACCCTTATTCAGCTTTCCTGAGGCCACTGTGGTGCCCTTGCATTGCCTTAACTCCCAGTCCATAAGCCTTCTGTGCATGTCCCAGAAACCAAGTTCCTGGAAGCAGGTGAAAAGGCAGTTTCCTTTTCCTCTTTGGCACACTCCTCCAGGTCACAACACTGCCTCCCAAATGCAGGATTCCTCCCTGGATGTCCCTGGAAAACTTCTCACAACTTCATCTTAAGCAAGGATATCCCAACAAATCTCGGAATCTCCATCACTAAAAAGCAGAAGAGGTTTAGTACACTCTGGCATCATGTTTCAACTTTTCCAGAAACTGTAGGGAGAAGGAATAGATCTTGAAAATCTTACAGAAGATTTTACAAACAAGCACAGACAACTGTCCATTCATGATGTCTGGAAGAAGGGAGCTGGCCCCCATGCATGGTCAGCATGCTTGGGCCCGGGACATGATAAATGGGTTTTGCGCTGTTTCCGGGATTGAATGTCATTACATTCCCGGGACGTTACTGGTTTATGGTGACTTCAGGTCAGAAATATTTAGAGTTGGATCTGTCCTAGGGAATTGGTAGTTATTTCCTATCACCACAGGACCCCTGAAAAGTTCATTGCCAAAAAATCCCAGACCTGGTTACAAGGCTGTGTCCCAAAGTTCCTTTGGTGGAAACTGGTTCTTCAAAATAAAATAAAATAAAATAAAAAGATAAAAAGAAAATAGACTTTAAGCTTTACCAAGAACCCTTGGGGAAAAGAGGACTCCACTGGCCGGACCAGTGAATCCACCTTACCATCTCATGGAGAAACACGGCTTCGGCTCTGGCCCCGGGGCTCTCCTGCAGAGCACTGGACTCCACCTGGCCAGTCTCTCCACCCTCTTCCATCGCCTTCTCTGCATCAGGCTTCTTCTCTAATTCACTTGACTGTTGAGAGCCGAGGGAGATTTCTGAGGTCGTCTTCTCTAGCTGGGTGCCTGGCTCTGGGGAAAGGCCTTTGCTGCATTCCACTCTTCTCATTGCATCTGGTCCTGGCTTGGCATCCTCGAGGGCCACCTTCTTGGGTATAGATGCTGCAGTGAGGATGAGAGTTATCAGTTGAAGGAGGCTCCATGTCAACAGAGGTGGTTGCCAGCACAGTAACTGTCCTGGACTGGTCCTGCTTCAAATAGATGGAGGAAATCTCCCAGCTCACTGCCCCCTCACATTCTTTCCCCTTTCCTCTTAGCAGTGTCCTGTCATAGATCCCAAGTCTCAGGCTGTCGGAGATGGGAGGGACCTTGAAGATCATCTGGTCCAGTGATTCTCAACTGGGGACCATTTTGCTCCTCCCCTCCCCAGGAGACATTTGGCAATGTCTGAAGACACTTTTGGTTTCACAACCGGGAGTGGTGATGGGGCGGGCGGAATGCCCACTGGCATCTAGTAGGTGGAAGTTAGGGATGCTTCTAAATATCCTACAAAGCATAAGATAGCCCCCTACAAAGAACTGTCCAGTCCAAAATGTCAACAGTGCTGTGGTTGAGAAACTCTGCTCTAATCCGATCTTTCACTTGTTGCCTAAGGTCACCAAGCTACAAAGATGTATTATGATTATAATGGAAGCTCCCTGCATGATTCTTTCCAGGGGTGATCTATGCGCCAATTTGGATATATCTCTATATCTAAAGTGATTAAGCTCCAATCTTAAACATCTACCAGAACAGAAGAGAGGGAGGCAGACCTCACATTTGGCTCCTACTGCCTTGCATGAAGAAGGACTAAGTATCTAGCAAAGTATTTGGTACACAGCAGATTCTCACTGATGTTATTATTACTTTTATTGGAATTAAAGAAACAAGTTCAAATTTTAGTTTCTCAACAAATTTTGTAATCTTGGTATAATGGCATAATAATATGTAATAATACATTACAGGGCTCGTGTGAAGATAAACAAGGGAGGCAAAGCACCTAGTACCGTGTCTGACATGCAGCACAAGCTCAGGAAAGTTCACTGATTAAAAACAAACTCTGCTCATTGCCTCTGGGTATGCTGGTGACTTAACTCCAGGTATCTCACCACAGTCCTGGCCTTGAATCTGGATCAGACCTAGTGACAGCATCCTGATCTAACTAATACTGCTTCAGAACTGACAAGAGTGTTGTAGCAGGCTTATTTTTGGAAATTTAATTTAATTTGGACTATGCAAAACATCTAGAGACCTGAAAAGTTAAAATCCTATAAAAGAGGCATTCTCAGAAAAGTTCCACTTTCATCCTTGTGTTTCTTCCACTCTGCTCCACATCCCCCTACTGTCCCTTATGGATAAACATTTTTATTAGTTTCTGGTTTATTCTGCCATATTCCTTTCTGCATATATAAGCATATCCTTGTACTGTGTATATTCTGATTCCCTACCTTTACTACACAAAATACAGCACATGATCTTTACTGTTCTATGCTTTGCAATTTTTCACTTAAGAACATATCTTGAAATCTATGCCATATTAGTATATCAGAAGGTTGTTCTTTAGGCTGTGACCTAGTTTGGGTTCCCCTCAAAGCAGAGTCTGAGCCAAGGTCTTGGCAGCAGGTTGCTTACTTGGAAGGTGGTCCCAGGAAGCAGGAGAGAGGAGCCGAGACAGTGATGGAGGAAAAGTCAATAAAGAGTATGGTTTCGAGCTGGTTACCACAGTGAGGAACCAGAACTCAGTCCCTGGTGGCCCTCTGAAGAATCATGAGAAATGTACCCCATAGTTATTCCACCAAAGGGAGGGAGGCTGGGTCATTAACCCACCGGTTCCCATCTCCTGTTGACTGAGAGCTGCCCCAGTTAATTTTCCCCATACTTCTGGGCTGTCCTGAGCCAAGGACTGGGTGAGATCCTTCCTTCAGAAAAAGCCGTGAGGCAGACACTTGGAACAGGATGCCTTCTGTGTGCACCGAAACTGTCTCCTGCAGATGTGCAGGGGTTTGAGGAAATGGGGGCAGGACCACAAAGCTATGGACTCCACGAGACTCCATCGTGTGGATGCGCCTAGTTATTCCATCCATCTCCTAAAGCTGGATATTTGGGTTGTTTCCATTTGCTATTACAAATAATGTCATGATGCACATAAACATTTTGTAGTCATGCAGCTGTTTTTTTTTTTGAGATAAATTCTTGGACGTGAGACTTCTGGGTAAAGGGGTAATGCATCAGTGATTTTTAAAAAAGAATTGTTTTTCCCCGTGTTACTAAGATCTCTTAGCTGGATGTGTTTGCCAGTGTCTCTGCAGAGCTCAGGGTCTTCCATTCATTGACTGTGACCATAACTGCGGACTCTTAAAGTAAGGCGAGGAGGAAGGCCCTGCACCAAATGTGAGCTTGTTCAGATCACTCACTGTCCTGCTCAAAGCCCTCCTCACTCCAGCCCAGCCATGTACCCGCTCCTCTCCTACCACTCCCCTGCATGACACTGAGCAGACGTGCTGCCCCAGACGGGCCTTCTACTCCTCTGCTCCGGTCCTCCCAAATCTAACCCATAAACCAAGTAGCATCTCTTTTGGAGCCTCCCCAGACCACACCCTCCTTCTACTGCCTGAAGTTCTCACTGCTATTCCCTACATGGTGCCAAGTCAGCAGGTTACCATTTTCTTTTCATAAGTATGTGGCATCCATCCCTCAGTTAAGTTCTTCGGGACAGAGGCAGCATCTACTTCTAGAAAGTACCCTAGCCTAGTTGGCCAATGAATTCTGTTGCTGGAGACTTGTACACTACAAAAGATTTTCTGTAGCTCAAAAGGGAAAGGCATTGTCAACTTCCCAAGGGGACACATGATGCACAAAGTGGGCAATCATAGAGGCAGAGACTGCTAATGTCCCCTAGTTCCAGTCTCTTCTTCACTTAGAAACAGATCCTTTCGCATCCTTTAAGGTTAGCTAGGTACCTGGCCATCCAGCCAGTGCTGTTTCTCAGCCTCCCTGAGTAAAGTCAGTGTGGCCATGTGAGTTTTGGAAAATGGAATGGAGGTGGAAGTGATGGGTGCAACTTCTGGGTCCATCCTTAAATGGAAGCTACTTGGCTGCCTCCCCTGATTCCCTTCCCACAGGTGGGAATATGGTGGTGGGGGGTGTTGAGCCCATTTTGACCATGTAGAAAGGCACAGCATGGAGATGGCTGAAGGACCCTGGGACCACAGAGGATCCCCCAGAGCACAGCCACCTATCTCTGGGCTGGTATGTAAGGCAGAAATCAATTTCTATCTTGTTTGAGCCACTGTGTTTTTGATTCTCTCTGTTACAGCAGCTTGGCTGTACCCTTAACTAACAGAATCATGGGTTTTTAAGACAGGCTTGCTCCTGATTAAAAAAATAATAAGGCAAAACAAATTTTTGTAGAAAGACTCAAATTTCAGATGCACTAAAGTATAACTATTTAAAATAATTCTTTTGTAAATTCTTCAAAAAAAACATGAGGCAACTCCTAGTATCTCTTTGGGTGCATTTCATAGACATTTTCCCATGCAGACCTCACCCCAGCCCTTGAGATAGGAGCCATCTCTGCTTTGCAGAAGAGAAACAGGCTCAGAGATGTCAACCAGCTGTCACCCTGCCAAGCAGTGGGAAAGCTAAGATCTGAATCTGGCCAGCTTAAGTCCCAAACCTACACCCTTCCCACAACGGGCAGAGTCTCTCAGCTCAGCCTGCCCTTTTCCACCATCTGCATTAAGAAATCCTACCCATTTATGAAGGCCCAAATGTCACCTCTTCAGAGAAGCCTTCCTGGAATCCTCCAAGAAGGAGAGGGCTGCTTCTTTTTGACGCCCTTGAAGTCCTTTCTGAACACCCCTTTCATGACACTTCGGGTGCCTGTGCTCTCCCTCATTCAGAAAGCCCGAGGGCAGAGTCAGACTACTTCCACAGGCTGCCCCTGGGCTGCAGGTGGGTGCAGAGTTTCGGTTTCCCTTCCTAGTTTGTGATCTTGCTGAGGGAAGGGATTGTGTCTTAACAATTCTGTAACTCCACAGCCCATAGCAAACAGGAGGGAACAGGGAGGAGTGCTTAAAAGCATGGATTTTTAAAAATCTGGATTAAAATCCTGGCTTTTACACTTCCTTGCTACGAGTCATTGGGCAAGTTAACAGCCTCCTCTCTAAGCAAACAGGGACAACAGTAACCACCCATGCCTCATGGGGCTGCTGTGCAGAGAAAGGAGATAATACATGTAGAACACTTAGGACAGTGGCTGACACCATGGTAGGTGATCAAACAAAGTTAGCTAAGTGAAATAGAACTATTCTTAAACCACAATGAGCATGTGTTGGTTTGTCTCTCAGCCATCCTTTCCTTTGAGGTTCTTGTGACTTCCCTTCTGTGTGGCTCACAGTTGGCTGTTGATTCTCACTTCAGAGATGGCCCGGAGACTCAAGCTCAGCCAGTCTTAGAACCCTATTAGCCTGGCAACAGTGATTGGTCCAAGGCTGGGCATGTGACCCAAGCAGGCCCAGTCAGAGTCCTCCTTGTGTTTGATATAAGGAAATTGGGAGGGAGATGCTCTTTCTCATTGCTAGGGCTGCTAGCCATGTTCTCTGCATGTGTGAGGTAGAAATGTGGGATGGGTGCATGGACAGAGGTTGAGTCTGGAAGAGCTGAATCACTAATTCCAATTCTGCATGCCATTCTGTGAGCATTCCCTCCTGCCTTCTTACTATGTGAGTCAATAAAATAATAGTAATAGGTAAAGTGACATGTATCGGGTACTTATTATATATTAGACCCTGTTCTGAGAGCTTTACCTGTATCAACTAATTTAACAAGAGATTTATTCACAAGACTAATTCACAAGAGACTTACGAAAAAAGTATGATCCTTAACATTATTCCCATTTTACAGATCAAGAAGCTGAGGCACAGAGTGTTTATGTTCACTTAAACAGCAAAATGGCTGAGCCTGGACTTGTACCCAGGCAGCCTGCAGCCAGAGCCCACAGTCTTAACCACTTTACTATATTGTCCTGCAAACTCTGTTTAAGCCAGTGTAAGTCTGGTTTTTCTCTCTTACAATGGAACAAGACCCTCTCCTCTGTTTTACCTGTAGAAGTCTCAGCTCCCAGTGGCTTCTCTTCTTCGGGCCAACCTCCACTCTCCGAGCCCTGGAAAGAAAACTCTTCCAGGCTGGAAAGAGACTGTAGCTCCTTTGGGGGTGTTCTGCACGGGGTGCTGTTGGTGCTGATGACAGCTGATACACGGAGTGGCACGGACACAGCAAAGGGCTTGGAGATGTTCAGGGCCTTGCGCTGGTGACGGGGAGAGGGCTCCATCTGGAAGAGGCTGCTGGTGAAGACAGATTTGCTGGGGCTGTCATTGAGGTGTAGAACATGCCCAGCATCTTCGGGGCTGTCTGCTCACTCTCAGGATCCTCGATGGGCCGGAACACCTTCAGCTGCTCTGGTGGGGGCCGGGCCTGAGCGCCCTGGAGCTGGCTTCTGTCACTGCTCACATCAAAGCCCCCCTCTGCCCCTGCTGGCATCCCCTCCTGGCTCCATTCACCCTCCTGCTTGCTGAGGTCACATGAGCTGCCAGTGCTAGCCGTGTGCATTTTCGCTGCTGGAATGAAAAATCCACCCGTGGTGACTGTTCGATTGAAATTTCCTTTGGTTTCTTTTCCTAGTGAAAAAATAAACAAATGTGGTCAGCAGCCTGGGCACACACATCACTGCACAGCCTTCCATAAGGGAAGGCACACAATATTTGAATAATGGAAAGGCATGGTGTGCTAATAAGGGCATAGCCATCCTCATAAAGACAGGTGCATGACATTTGTTGACAGGAGAAAAGTATCTTATGTGCACGGAATTTTGTTGCAGTGTACTGATGGAACCACTTCCTGCTGTCTCATATGCATCTCTTTTAAACTTTGCAGGTAGAGCAGTTTCCTAAAGACAGCCACTGCTAAGGCTGCTGAACAGAGCAGCCAGCCACCAAGCACTAAATGTAGGTCACGAAAACTGAAAAGACGGATGGGAAGTGGTAGAATGATGTTTGCTTAAAATAAAGGAGACGAATCAAAGGCCAAAATAACAGAAACTTGTTTCATTTTAAAACCTTGAAACTTATTGTTTTGGGTTTTTTTTTAAACTTATTGTTTTAAGTCTTCTGTGGCAGATGGACCCAAACAGGGGTTTCATTTCCCTGCAAGGAAACAAATGCAGTCCTCAGCTAGACCTTTCTGCCTATTCCCAGGCTTCTTCCTGCTGATTCAGAGGATGAGAAACCAGAAATATAAATTAATTACATGTTAGAAAGCACAGTTGTGAGGAGTGAGTTCCTGACTGACTTAAAAGTGAAGGCAAAGAAGAGAAATATCTGTATGGGAAATAAACAAGCTGGGAGATGACAACTGAACTGCCAGGGATCTGGGAAATAATTCCCAGCTGGGCACCAAGTGCTACATCTTAGGTCACACTAGGTTTAAAATTCTTAGGACCACTCTGTAGGGGGAGTATTATCACCTCTCTTTACACACAAAGAAGCAGACTCAGAGAGGTTTAGCTAACCTGCCCAGCACCCACGGAAGCAGTGACCTAGCTTTTGAAATAGTAAATCCTGTCAAACTGAGCAAGAATTGCACCTAAGAGGTTTCAAAACCAAGCAAATGGATGAATATAAAAGTGAGAAAATGCTAAAAGGATCGATTCAGCTTAAAGAAAAAAAAACACCTCACTGAATATCTTATAAGCTTAGAATTCTTTGTGGAAAGTTGTTCTAAAGACTTTCTGTAGTTTCAGGCTGCCTCATTTATCAAAGAGAAAAATATCTTGTATTAAAGGGATTGGAAAGTCATGGGATAACTGTGAGGGAGTTTAACCAGTCTGCTGTTAGGGAAGCCCTGTGTCTTGTAGCTTGTAGCAGTGCTTGTTGGCTGCTTAACAAAAACAGACGCGAGAGCTACAGGCAAGTCAGCCCTGAAGGCTGGAGCTGTAAGAACCAACATGGTGAGGTGCCACCTTGGTGATGGGTGTCACCTGGCATGCACATCTACTCCAACAAGCGATAACCAGCTACGTGCCAGGCTGGTGCCCATCAGTGTTTACCGATGAATGAAGGAATGAATGAATCCACCAACTCAAAATCATGACTTGACAAATACGATGAAGTTCATGCCTATGGAAACACCTAAATTTGAAACTCTTCTTTATGCCCCAGGGGACCCTCGTCCACCTTCGTTTTCAAGTGTGGACCTTTCACCTGGCTCAGGCTTGAATGTAAAGAGGCTGCTGTCTCCAGCTGTGGATGCAGAAAGGCTGGAGAAAGAGGCTTGGTGGAGTTTGAAGGTTATTGCAAGGGCTATGTGAGCCCCTTGATTTGGGAAGGGTCAGGGAGGGATTTGAGTCCGGGAGAGTGTGTGTGATCCTGCCTGGAGATGAGCAGGTTCGGCAGTGTCTGAAGGCAGGTCTGGTGTGGGAGCACCACTCTCCTACCGGTAAGCCCCAGCTGCGGATCCAACTGTGAAATCTCACCTTCCACGGGCACTGAGCACAGTGAGTCCATGCTTTTAGCTGGTCGGATAGTAGCCTTTTCCACTAAAGACAAAAGAAAAAATATCCCTGATGAATGCATGTTGAGAGGGAGTGTTCAGAACAATAGGTCAGGCTGTACATACGAAAGAGAAATTTCTTTAGGAAAGTTTTTCAAGTATTCATAATTTTCCCCTTTGGAAAATATTCCCCACTCCACCTTAGATGTTCCTACTTTCTTGATGGGACTGATCTTATAAAAATAGCGCATTTATAGATCAAAGTTTTATTAACATTTTACAGATAAAGGTAATTACAAATTACAGTTTGTCAAATAGCTGTTAGCAAATGAGGAGTCCTGAGCCCAACTTTGTGTACAGAAAAGATTCATCCATGGGGCTCCAGCAACTCCTCCTATTTGATAGGCCGGAGAGCAGGATTCTTGGCTGCAGCCACATGTCACAGCACCCAGGAATTTGGTACAACAGCTGAGAGGACCCAAGGTCACAGAGAGTCACTTATATTGACACTGATGGCTCTTTAATTTCACCCTTGCATCCCATCAGAATTTAGCCAGTTTGATAATCTATCTCTGATTAGTTTGGTCAAGGGATATTAGACCATGGGGAGGGTATAGCTCAAGTGGTAGAGTGTATGCTTAACATGCACGAGGTGCTGGGTTCAATCCCCACTACCTCCTCTAAAAATAAATAAACTTAATTACCTCCAACACCTCTCAAAGAAAGAAAGAAAGAAAGAAAGTACATGTATGAGTTTAAGAAAAACTTAAAAAAAAAAGAGAAATATTAGACCAGTGGCTTTCAACCCCAGATGCATATCAGAATCACCTGGGGAGCTTTTTAAAAAGTGACCAACACTCTGACTTGACCACAGAACTCCCGAGGCAAGGTTGCGGTGGGTGGGAACCACACGCTGGGGGATTCTGAGGTGCAGCCGAGCTGAGGAGCCCTGGCCTGGGACATCCTGTGCCTTCTGTGAGTTTCCTACCATGTGGTCCAGCACCTTGAGCTTCTTCCTTTTGAAAACCACATAGTGGGGTGGAACTCCTCCTAAGTCCAGATCAAAGCAGATCATTGATTCTATTTTTACTTGATTGCTTTGTTCTATTGTTTTAACTTTTCATTACTTGGTGAACCTCTTTGTCTGTGTTACTGATTCTGTAACTGAATTTCCCTCTGCTGTGCTTCAGCAAATCTATTGTTAGATCAGGAGTTTCTTGCCAGGTACGTCACCTCTTGAATTCTCCTTCGAGAATCCTAATTTCTGATTTGTATCTGATCTGCCATACTTGGAGCAACCTGCCCTCTTCACCTAGGCTATCTTTCCATTTCGTGAGAGGCATTTTTTCCCATATAATGGAATTTGTAGATGACCATCCAGAATCCATTTCCCTTCCCCCTTCTCACAGAGCCCTTGTGCTTCCTGGGTGCATCTGACTGCAAGCCCATTCCTCAGGGCGGTGGTCGGCTCAGGAACCCAGGCCTAAGCCAATAAGCACAGGGTACTCCCTTGGTCACAGGGACTGATCTGTGTGACTCAGTGAAGGCTACTGTTTGGCAGGGGGAGAGGAGAGACACTTAATAGGGGTCTGTAGGAAGGAAGGGTCCCTGTACTTCGGAGCAAGCTACCAGGAATGATGTTCTCTTACTGGACACAGTGAGAGTCAAAGGGAAAGCCTGGAACTACTATAGCCACTTCTTCTCAGCAAAGGAAACTAGTCTGCGGAGAAAGCTGACCCACACTGGAAGGCAGAGCTTAGGAAAACATGGAGAAATGGAGACAGAGCCCCAGCATTAAGCCATCCCTGAAGCCTTCACTACATCTGGGTGTCCCAGTAGATCCCCTCATTGCATAAGCCAACTGAGTTGGATTTGCTGTTATCTACAGCCTAAGTCATTGTAACTGCTGTACCCCACAGCATTGCTCATTACTCCAATAGGCAAATGGGATGATTTCTAACACCCGTGCCTTATAAGCCACGGCATACAGTTATCAGTGGGGTCGAGGAAGGTCCTTAAAACATATTCTCTCCCATTTTTGCCTATAGGCGTTAGTTTTTTCCCTCAAATCTTTATTATCAAGAATTTCAGCAGGGAGGGTATATAGCTCAGTGGCAGAGTGCTTGCTTAGCATGTAAGAGGGTGTAGGTTCAATCCCCAGTGCCTCCTCCATTTAAGTAAGTAAGTAAGCAAACAAACAAGCAAACCTAATTACCCGCCTCCCCCAAAAAAGAATTTCAAACATTCAGAAAAGTTGAAGACCTCTAAACCTACCACCTAGGTTGACATTTTGCCACACGTTTGCTTTATCTATTTCTCTCTCTCTCTATGTATATATGTGTGTGTATGTCTGTATGTGTGTGTGTGTGTGTGTGTGTGTGTGTATATACCTATGTACCTATATTTTTCTGAATGATTTGAAAGTGAGTTTCAATATTTTGACACTTCATCCTTAAATACTTCAATTTTAGCATGTGTCCTAAGAACCACCAGCACACTATAAAAATTTACTATTCTTTAATATCATCTAAAATGGAATCTATTAGTCCCCGGTATCATCTTTTATAGTCCTTTTTTTTCAGCTAGGATTCTTTCAAGGTTTGCTCATGGCATCTGTACAGTTTACTACTTGTTTTCATAACTATCACCCTCATTTTTTAAAAAATCATGCTTTTAATCTCTAACACTAAAGGTCATTGTAGAAAATTTCTTTGTCTTTCCCTTTCTGACAATATTTAGCTGGATTCATTATATTCCCCATTATACAGTGGTTCCTTCAGTCCCTCCTGCCTCAATTCCTATTTCCTACTCAGATATAATTCCACAGGGCATTATATGACCCTGGGGAGAAAGGAATGAATCTTTACAGTAGAGTTCAATTAATAAGTGCAGAAGGCATGATGGAAATAGAAAATGACCGTTTGGCAAACACCACAGTAATAACTGTTGCAGGCAAGAACCATTAATGGATGTTGAAATTCATGGATGAAAGTATGACAAGAAAAAGATATTTGCAGTCTGAAAATATCTCCCACAAGATACTTATTAACTGCAAAGGAAAAAATAGTAACTTTACAGGGACAAATCTTGTAAATAGCTTTAACCAAGTGATCAAAGTTCACCTCACCTACAATAAAATATGACCTTACGTGCCCCCTGATATGACACACTGAGACAGGCACAGCGTTCATAACTTCAATCTACCCCTGAGGAAATATTGGACAACCCCTAACCGAGGTATATTCTGCAAAATGAATGGCCAGAACTCTCCTAAAGTGTCAAGGTCAAAAAGATTGAGCAACTGTCCTAGGTTGGAGCGTTAAGGAGGCATGACATCTAAACGTAATGTGGCTTCTTGGATTGGATCCTGGACCAGAAAAAGGACTTTAGTGGAGCAATTGGTCAAATGTGAGTAAGGCCTATAAATTATTTAATAGCATTATATTGATATTAATTTTCTGATTTTGATCATTCTGTTACAGTTATCTAATGTTATCATTTGGGGAAGCTATGTGAGGGTATATGGGTTCTCTGCAAACTTTTTGTAAATATAAAGTTATTTTTAAAAAACAAGAAGACTCTCTAGTTAATTTGTAAGTCTCTCAGGGTTAGTCAGTTTGATGTGATCAAACTGAAGACTTAAGAAACAGAACTGGAAAAATATAGATCTCTTATAAACAGAGTTGCTGTTGATTCTTACCTGAGAGCCTCTGTCCTCTCACAAACACACTCCCATTTCTACTCAGCTTTGATTTGGAGTCTGATCCAGAACGTCCCAGGTTAAATATTGACTTCCACTTCTTTGATTTACTGGAGAGCTTTCTTCTAAAAGAGCCAAGCCACAAAGGGGTTATTTTGGTAACCTGCCATTTCAATGGGCCCTTTAAATTGAGAAGGAATGCCCCAATCATGTTCTTAGTTATGAATGGCTCTGACATGTCAGGAAATCGCTCTCTAAAATCCAAGTTGAGCCCAACTCTCACCCTGTCTGGGGATGCCCTTGATGATGGAGCTGGGTTTTCGTGAGTCAGAGTGAAGGAACACTTTCCCCAGAGGAAGAGGCAAAAATGTGCTATTAAAGGCAGGGGCTGGTGGGAGACTTAGAGGTCATGAGCAACCACAGTTATGGGAATTCTGGTAGTAATTCAGGTAAGCAATTTAAAAGCATTTTCAAAGACAGGCATTTCTTACAGGAATAAACACCGAAGATCATAAACCCCAATCCCATTATGCTCCCTGCACTGAGGCCACACTGCTGGGACATCCACAGCTGAGGGGGCTGCTGAAGACTTTGGTGGACTGGAAAGGGGATGGATGAGAAAACCACTTGGAGCAGAGCCTGGCCTGGGAGAGCTGTGGGCTGCTGGGCCGTTGTCAGCAGCCATCACAGAGAAAGGCAGAGGGTAGTCACTGTATCTCTGGCTCTGTCTCTCACTTCCCTGATGCCACCAGGCTGCTCCAGTAGGTGGCAGGGGAAGTTGAATGCCAGACTGAGCCCAAAGCCTGGTGCCACCAGGAGTCATCACAGAGGCCTTGCCAGGCTCTGGCTCGCTCAGCCATCAGACTCCATAAAGTTCCAGGATGAACCCAGCACCCTGTGGGTTCCACAAAGGGCCTTTTCTCTGCAGGGTTCTCATAGAACATCCAGATCTCAAGTTCAGCACGTTTTTAATGATCAATCAGAGAGAGATCTGCAGTGCTTAGCGGGTTCTTTTGGATCTCGGCTGGTGTTTTCAAGCACTTGGCCTCGGGATGGATTTTATACGATGGCATACCCTGAGGTATGGCACACCCCAAGCTATGGCACACCCCAGGTGTTTAAGGCACAGAGAAAGTGCACTTGATTGTCCTTCCAAGGTTCTCTTCCTCCTGACCAAGGGGTGGAAGTCTTATTCCCTAGAAACTTAGGGGGAGGAGCAGTGGGACTTAGTCTCGAGAGAGCACCAGCAGTGCTCTCCAGCAAACGGAGGGCTTTCTCAGCAGGTGAGTTCCAGGTGCCTCTCCCAGAGCACGCAGTGTGACAGGCGCCCCAAGGTGGCAGCGTTCTCTGCTCCCCAAAAAGGAAAACAGCCACCCCATCGCGGGGAAGACACTGCCAAGAGGTCTGAGGTTTTTATACCTCCTTTCACTGACCAAACAGCGAGGATGACGCTCTCCAATGACAAGCCTGCCTTTCCGCACCTCCATCTACTGTCAGCCCCAATCACCGCCCCCTTTTTACAGCGGGGCGTGAGGGGGAGGTGGGAGGAGGGCTATGTGGAGACCAGGGTTACAACAGCAGTGAGCAGAAGAAATGAGGAAAAATCTGAATGAAAATGGTGTTTGGTTTGTTTTGGGAGGGGAGGGAGGGCTCTGACCGGCGAGAGAGGGGAACGGAAGCGGGATGCACGTCCCCAAGTGCCGCGTTCCCACAGCTCTCGGTCCAGAGTGGCGCTCTCTGCCAGCCTGTCCTCCGTTCCTCTCTAAGCCTTTTGTAACGTCCCGCGGAGGTGAAGGGTGGGAGGAGGGGGTCAACTTTTTGTTTTTAGCAAACTTCCTTTTGAAAATGTCAAGCCTATTTTGTCTAAACTAAGGAGTCAGGGATTTATGATTCTTGGCACCTATGAGCCCCACCCCCACCTCGGTACTGGAGATTTCTGGTGGGAGGTCAAGGTCTTGGTGACTTTGGGGCAGCGACGGAAGGCGGCGTCGCCGCCGGTGAAAGTCGTGGAGGCAGCTCCCTCCCCTTCCGGAAAGCTTCCTTACACCCCAACCAGGACCACATCCCCAACCCATGCAGCCATCAAAGCCTGGAGACTCTATCACTCCCTCCTCTGTCTCCCTCCACCCAAACATCTCCCAGAAGTTGAAAGAAGCCCACTCACTTGTTGTCCGGTAACTCAAGGACAGTGTGGAAGAGGGTGCCCATGGGAGGGACAATCTCAGGCAGGCTATTCTCCCTCCTTTCCTTCCGAGCCGGATGGTTAGTAGCCAGGCTCCGTGCTTGAGCTTCCTCCAGACTCACCAACTTCATGGGCAGGGAGAGGGCTGGCAAAGTTAGGCTCTTCATGATGGGCCGGTTTTCTGTAACAAGAAGTGAAGCGCTCACAGCTCTCTTGAGAGGCAGCGTGTGCCCCCAGACCAGCCGGATCCCCCATCCACAGCCCCTCCGTTCCTGACCTCCTGACAGGGGCTGTTCTTGAGCATGGTGGGGTCTGGAGCAGAGGCTGCACACAGGGATCTGACAACTCTCCTGGCCAGACCAGCCAGAGGGCACACGGGCTTCAGAAGGTTGCCTACATTTCTTGTACTTTTCAGAGACAGGTCATTCATTCATTCATTCATTCACAAAACAAACATATTGAGCACTCACTGTGGGCCAGAGAAACAGCAGTGGATATTTGCCCCCAGAAACTGCCTATGGCTTTGGTCAGCCACAGAGGTAGCCTCACTCAGCTAGGGCAGGGCCGGAGACTGCCCCCC